GGATACGTATCATGACTCGTCGTGTGCCTCACCTTTACGTGAAGCTCGACCTCAAAGAAATAAATGAAGTGGGGGAGATATTGACGCTAGTTAGCTTCACTTCCTTAGCCAGCCCCGCTTGCCTTCTCTCCGGTCCAGCCTCGCCAGCTCGGTCCCTACCCCTCTCTCTCTCTCTCTGTTTCTCTCTCTCGGAGCTGTCTCAGACGTCCTGGGACTTACCGGTCTTATATGCTGATGATGCCGCTGTGAAGAGACAACAAGTGCGGGGCGGCTGCTGGCCACCGCTCCGCTGCTCCGGGACAAGAGGAGTACTGATCTACACACTTTCACAGCCATCTCTGTAGTGAAAGCTCGCCGTGAAGGAGACTGCTGCGGGCGGGCGGACGGAGAGGCACCGAAGAAGCACAGAGGGAGGGGTGGGCGGGTTTGCGGGGCTGGACTATGATATACACATGCCCAGTGTTGCACCAGTGTGCTAAGATAATGCACTTCTGTGCGCACTAGTTCAAAAAAATGTATGTTATGCGAAGACTGCAGTACACCTGTCTCCAGTGACAATATACCCTACTGCAATTCAAAAAAAAAAAGAAGTCTGGTGATAGTGGCATCGGTGAAGGAACTATATACACACATCTCGGTGAAAATCATTGTTTTTATGTCTAATGTGTTTAACCAAATAAGAAAACATGTGTACTATGTTTTTGTTGTTTTTTAAAAAGAGGGTTTCATTCTTAAAGCTTCACACTTAACACAGTGCACAGTGCAACCTGTCTGAATGTCTTTCTGTCACTCGTCACTCTATCCATCTATAGCCAAATATCAAATATAACCTGTCCTTCAGTCACACTTGTGTTCCTGGATCAAATATAAGTGAACTGGTCTTCATCGGCTTTTAAACAGGTAGGCTTTCATTACATTTCAGAGCTTCTGTGGCCGTTCAATGGGGCAAGCAGTTTATGAGGTGCACTGTTTTCTGGAGAATCATCCATCCACTGCAAATTCAGCTAATGGGAGTGCTAATGGGTCTGTTTGGTCAATGAATGTCAAGGAGACTCCCCACCGTGGAATGCAACCTGTTTTTGTCTGTAATCTTTGACCAAGCCCATCATATAATACCACCTACCACACCTGTGTTGGTCAAGGGTGAGTCCAGATAGGCAACTCTTAAAAGACAAAAACAAACACATTTTGTGTAATTCACTGCAGTGATTTATGTGATCACATGGTTTCTTATCACAACTTTAGATCCAAAGCAAGGAGCAGAAAGATAAGGAATGAGTCAAATTCGTTGTTTTGTTGCTTGTCTTATGTTTTTTATAATGTATTTATTTCAAATACAGTAGCAGTATGTCATTGCTCCTGAACTCATCCCAATTCCTTCTGTACTTCCTCAGGTGCACTGCATCAGGCTGTGTGGGTGATGCAATTTAAATGCAAATTCCCAGTCATGGACAAGGATCTGCTCAAGGCCTCAAGCCTGCATCGATTCACAGGGCGGATCTTTTGTGTGGTGCCAAACACTACCGTGCACTGGCTCAAATAAACCTTTAGACGTCTGCTCTAACTGTGTCACGGCGGTGGTGCATTTGCACATGATGCGTCAGCAGTGTAAACTAAAGAGCTTGCAGCAAAGAAAAGCTACCTGCATGTATTAGATTTCATTAGAGCTAAGACGTGTATGATTTGTTTGTACTCCAAACTGTGTCCACAGCATTAAATCAGCTAATAAAGAGAAGCTATACATATCAGACCGTGGTGTTTGATCTCAGTGTAACCTAAAATGCCCTACATGCCACATTATTGTAACAGCACAACTTCTTATCTTCCTCAAAATCTACAGTTATGATACTTCGGGTGAGTTATCACCAACGTAAAGACACTAACACTGCAGGTGCAAGAAAATAAGACCAGGTGACACCATTCCTTTTGAAAGTAACTAAGTATTTAGATATATCCAAACCAAAGTGGGAAAAAAAAACCACTTTATGGAAAATCTCAATGATACCCCAGTTAATTTCACTAAGACACTCGTGTTAATACACAAATTAAAATAAAAATTAAATTACTGATATAAATTGGACATGACAAGTCTCTACAGCACTAAATTTGTGTGACTCAAATAAAACCACTGCTGACAGTAATCTTTTTTTTCCCCCAGTTATCCTCATATGATTGAATTTTTAATTTAATTTTAATAGAGACGGTACAGATTTGAAACACCCTCTGCCACCATTTCTCAAGGTCATGATGAGTGATTTGAGGAGAGTACAAAATGAGGTGTGTTTGGTTGCCACGTAAATATGAGTGTTCACACATGTCTGTACTTGAATGAAATGTCGCCCAGCGTGAAAATACAAAAGAGCTCCACCCGTGGTTTTATGAAAGAAGTAACGCTCAAAGACAGCATGCATGGGTGTGCAGACGTGGAATACGTCAGAGAAATAAGACTGATGTTAGTGGAGCCAGCTTTTGTTCTCATGTCAAAAAAAGAATAAAAAAGAAGGTGTTGTTGTTGTTGCAGACGAACAACACACCTTCATGGATTTACAAAGGTGTTCCTCAGTGTGGTTCTCAACAGTGTGACACCCTCTTAAACCAACCAAAATTAAAAGAGTTAACAACAGTGTCTAAACATCCTTCTAAAAACAGTTGAGGTTTGGTCTTATCTCCTGCTCCACCTTTGCACTGCCACATTTGCAGGATGGCTTTGATCAGTAGTGGAAGGAAGACATGTTTCTGAATATGCTTCCATGCCTACAGAAACATTTTTGGCCTGGATGTTCATATTTATTTATATGTAGGCTGACATTTGCACTGCATGCATTCTTTTTTTTTCTTGTCTCACAAGTTTCATAGAAACTCCATTTCCATTCTCTGAACTGTAGCCCATTAATTTTATACAAAATGTTATAAACCAACTTTCATGTTATACATGTTTATGGGTCAATAAAGGAGTCAATATGAATAAGAGCACTGCTGTGGAGTTCTAGGTGACGCTGAGGTTATTGTAGTAAAACTAATAACATCCAATTTGAAATTTCAGTATTTGACAGGTTTCTATTGTGGCATTCTGGTGATACATTGTGAGTCCTAATGAACTCTATGCTGAGGAGCTGCAGGCATATTTAAACAGTGTCCCTTATTTAAGAAAAAACAAACAACTGTAGACTAAAAGACAGCACAGATACAATTTGTTCTAACAAAGATTTTATGAAAAGATAAAAGGAAGGGGAATGGGTGACAATTTGCAAAGGAGGAAGGCAGCAATATTAGTTGCGGTGTGTGAGCATGTGATATTATTATACTGTTGATAATCACTTCAAGTTTGTATCACCTGTTTGAGACAACACACACAGACAGAGACACAAACAATCATAGAGAGCTGACTCAATGAAGCATTTCACTGAGTTATTATAAATTTATAGTTTAAGCCATGACACCTGGTTGCATAAGCATTGCATCCTACTGCATGTAATGCAAAGATTGTATGACCTGAGGCTGTTAGGTGGACATATAACGTCTTTAAGGCTTGTGTGTTCAATTTCAGATATATCTTGCGTGTTCATTCATTTCACTTAGTAGCTAAGGGATAAATGTTATCAATCTAAGTCTGACTAATGAGAATAATTAATATTATTAGAACTCTTCTGACATTTCTGGCATTTCTAAAGGCCTAGGTTGTGCATCATTATGAAATTTGGGTGACATTGTTAGTGGATGTGACAAAAGCCTGCAGTCATGAAACGTCCCAAGGCAAGCTCAGCCGCTCTCCAGTTTTTCCTTTCACATTTTGCATGCAAACCACCAGATATGTTGGCTCTTCAAGGCAACAATTATAACTGGCACACTGTGGAGAGGCTCGTTATTTAATCTGGAACTCTATAAAGACATATGACTGAAATCAGACACTCTCTTTCAGTTCAGTTTAATATTGTTACATAATACCAAATGAAATTTATTTTATTCTAAAATTTTAAACCTGAAATAGAATTGTTGAATCTGTATTTAGGCCTAACATTAGTAGGTACACCTTACTTGTACTGGGTAGGAGCCCTTTTCCCCTCAGAATTCTTCATGGTATTGATTCAATAAGGTACTGGAAACAGTACCTCAGAAGTTTTGGGGCATATTGGAATGACAGCATCACACAGTTGATTCAGATTTTTGGGCTGCAAACCCATGAAGCGACCCTCCTGTTCTTCTGCATTCCAGAGATGCTCTATTGCATTAAGATCTTATTACTGTGGAGTAAAGTGCACTCATTGTCATGCTCAAGAAACCAGTTCGAGATTATTTCAGCTGTACAACATGGTGCGTTATCTTGCTAAATGTACTCATCAGAAGATTGGTACATTGTGGTCATAAAAGGATGGTATGCTATGCTGTGGTGTTTAAATGAGGCTCAGTTGGTTAAAAAAACAATCCCTCACAACATTACACCACCAGCAGCAGCAGCCTAAACTACTGCTGTGAGGCAGGATGGATCCACGCCTTCATGGTCTTTACACTAAATTCTGAACCTACCAGCCAACTGTTAGAACAGACACCGAGACTTGTCCGACCAGGCGATGTTTCCCCAGTCTTCTATTGTCCAGTTTTGGTGAGTTTGTGTCAATTGCAGCCTCTTTCCTGTTCTGAGCTAATAAGAGTCCCACTTGGTGAGGTCCTATGCAGCTGTAGCAGTGTGTTGTGTGTTCACAGATGCTCTTCTGCATGCCTTCCTTGTAAAGAGTGGTTATTTGAGTGAGTTGAGTGCATTGCCTTCCCTTGAAGCAGTCTGTCTGTTCACAAAGAGAACTGCCACTCTCTGAATATTTTCTCTTTTTGGACCCTTCTCTGTAAGCCCTATAAAAAAAAAAAAGTAAAACAGTTGTGCTGTGCTGACCATAATGTACCTATTCGATTAGACAACTTAAAGTCCCCACAAGACTTTTGATTTTCCTTTACTTACACTGTAATTCCGCCTAAACCTGGACGGAGGGATGATGGGAGGGTGCCTGTGTGAAATGCATGGGGCTGGTACGGAGATGTTGTCCCACCCTCTCTGAAACACGGAACTATTAGCGCAGTACTCCATCACTGCAGACACACTGAGCAAAGACGTACTCTGAATCGGTGAAGACGTTATTACTTTGGACTGAGTGGTGTTTTTATCGCTGCTTATGTAAGTAACCGTGCCTCCTATGAGCTATAAGAAAGCTCCGTAATGACGCAGTGTGTAACAAAACGATGAAATAGCTGCTAGTAGAGCTAGCACTTGCCATTAAATCTAACGTTAACTAGCTAGCTCGCCAGCGTGAGTTACCCCACGAAACAATTACTTGACTGCCGAACTAACCAGCTAAATATTGACATTAACAAGTGACTGACGATAGAAGCATTTAGTTTATTATTGGTTAGACGGGTAGCTGCTAACCTTGTAGCCCGTCATGCTGTTGTCAACGAAGTTAACTTGCGGCTAAAAACAAAACACTGGGATCACTATCAAATGAACAGCTCTAGCTGTTCGTGTTTCCGTTTCAACATGCCAAACGCAACACTAACATCACCTTAACCAGTGTTTTTGAGCCAGTTGTTGACAGCTAGCTGTTTTTGTGTGTGTTTTTGGTGTTGTGTTAACAGTGGGCCATGTCATATTGAACACAAACACAGGAAGGTGTATCTTTCAGTTGTTTGTCTAAGATTATTATTATTGCATGTTTACACGAAACACCCAGAGACTAAAATGATTATGCTTCAAAGGATAGTGCAATGCTAGCTCTTACCCAAAGAAAACATTTCCTAATTTATTTGGGAACAATACATAGCTTTTTTGGGTTGGGTGTCGCAAAACACCCATTAAAAATTCAGGTCTGCATGTTTGTCTTTTATGTTATGTATATGATTTTTAAAAGCTTGGATTGAATTGAGGAGCACAAGTATGAGTAAATGTATAATGCATGTATGTAAGAGGCCATGTAAGGCTTTAGAAGTAATTTCTGTAAGTTTAAAATCAGCTACCAGGCAGCCAGTGTATTGTAACAAAGGTGAGAAAGTCCTGACCCAGATACACTTGACAACGATATGCAGTTTCTGAAAGCTTTAGTTATTTCTTTTTAATGAGGTACTGGTCCATATATCCAAACTGTTCTTTTTAAAATTCTGAATGCTCTTGATACTTCTGAAAATAACCCCATCTCTCTGTGTATGTGTACCCCTAGGGTGGGAAAAAAAGATCCCCAAGCAGCAAAAAGAACTGCTATATTTGCTGTTGTTTAACTGGAATGAATCTGTGGTCTCACCTGAGATCATAAAATGTAATTTTTAATGCCATAGGCTATTTAGATTACACCCCCCCCCCCCCCCCCAAACACACACACACACACACACACACACATTTTATATTAAAAAAAGGTTTGCTTTTAGGTAGTGAAGAATAATTGCTGAGGACATTGATTTACCTGCTCCTTCTTCAAGTCCAGGTCCAGTGTGCCTTGTAACTAGACTTACGATGATAGTTTTCTATCATTGTAGCTTCAGCTGAACTTAGCATTGAGCTTCTGGGAAAGTGTAAAAGCAAAACTCTCTAATTAAAAATGTGCTGGATTCAAAAAATTAGACTGAATTCTTGAAATATGATGTAAATTAATCATTTTTAAACACTCATAAATACATGAAAAAAGTTGCCTGATATCGTGAGGGCGGCACTGGATTTATAAAGCTGTAATAACAGGATGGAGTTTAATAAGTAGCTAAGTCATGCTCTGCAAGGTTTAGGATATTTTTACATGTACTTTGATAATAATGAGCATTTAACTTTAACACAGCCACCCCCTTTGTTGTGGCTGCTGTGTTCCAGATTTAGCTTGCGTTGATGGAGTTGATGAGGAGACAAGCATTGCAATCAAAAACAGCACTCAAAGTTTGAGCATGCCAAAGGAATGAAGTCTCGCACTCAAATTTCTCCAAAAACGTGCCAAGACAAAGCATTCCTGCATGGTTAAGTACAGGTGCAAAGAAAGAAAAAAATTTATCAGATGTTACTCCATTATAACCTAATTAAAAATATATATCAGGAACTCTAACAGCTTACAATTACCTTTAGTTTGTAATCAAAATATGCACGCTTTTAAAACTTTTTTAATGTAAGGTTTTCAAAAGAGTACATTGAAGGACTCTTTGTTGGTTTGTGATCAGACTGAAAGGATGATGAAATGCTGTTTTCCTTATGATATTCTCTCTTTTACAGCTTTGCTGTTTTGTTCAGATGAAAGATGTATGTTTTTCATTATACAGAACGTGCACACGGTAAAATAGAGCAGAGTAGAAACCGAATAAATGTATATATGCCACATAGATATGAATGAGAAGCAAATTTTGGACTGACTGCTTCATTTCTTTACATAGTTAGACATAACGAATGGGCAGGTTTTTGTTGTAGTGTGGCTCACTGGCTTTTATGCAAGTTAGTTTCCAGTGTCCTTTCACAAAGTTATTATCTGAACAAGCTTTAGGCTTCCCATTTGGAGATTACACAGAGCGTGTATAACTTCCCCTTTGAAAATGTTTAATTTCACTTGGTAGATGTATTTCAAAGATTTAAGCAAACATTATTAACTAGTTTAAATGAGTGACCCTCAACTAGTAGCTAGGAATCAAAAAGATCAAGAAATTTAAATCCATATTTTATGTTCATCCCTTTTTCTTTTTCTTTTTAAATTGAATCTGGCGCATGTGTGTGCTTGTCTTCTTGTCTGGCGGTTGGAGGAAAGGATTCACGAGATTGTGTCAAGTCAGAATTTGAAAAAATATGACATTAGTTCTTCAGTTTTGTAGTACATAAAGTGTCATTGCTCCATATTTTGCAGTGTAGTAAAGTTAAGTAATGCACCTTACTGCCTTACTTCCCAAAATCAAATAAAACCCAAGGTACTGCTGAGAGCTAAAATCATTACAAATTCTTTCAGCTGCAGTACAGTAATCACCGTAGCTGCCATAGTTGTTACAGTCAGGAGCAGTGTCCAGACATCACATTGCTGCAACACCACCCCTGGGGTGGTTTCCCTGCCATCTCACTTTTTCTTAGTCTTTGTTTTGTTCTGTTACTCTGTACAGAGGAGCATTTCAGAGTGTCAATAACCGTGTTGCTGCCTCTGCTGTGAAAAGGCAAAAACAGTGAGAGTAAAAGCCCATACTCTTTGTTTGGTGGTGTAGCTGTAACTCAGCAGCAGAGCAAATAGTGCTATAGCCAGGACTCACTAACCTGCTATGAGACTTACATATGTTTGAGATCACTCAGCATCTGTTCATCTTTGGTTTTAGACTAATAAACAAATTACTAGCTTTCCACTTGGCTTTGTGTAGGGCTGGAGATGTTGTTTGGGAGAGACAGGCTGCCGAAGACAGCTGAATTATAGATAACATTGCTGAAGTTGATAACATGTAGTTTTGTTACTTTAAGTGCTGTAAAAGGTTTCCAAACCTAAATCTGTTATTCTAGCAAAACGATGTAGCCATTGAGCTGCTGTGCTAGCTACAGAGTATTAGTTAATGCCAAAGAAATCTAACTGACTGTACTTAGGACCTGTTATCTAACTTCTTTGTGAAAATGTAGGTAATTATATTTGCATAAAATGGCAAACGGTTGGTTAATATTGATATCATATCATTTCTATGCAAAAACTGGTGCATTATATTTTAAAAACTTTATTTTGAACAATGGCTTTATTTTAATTTAAATATCGTAAATATCGTAAATATCGTAATATCAAAATGTAGTGGAGGTTGCGGGGAATAGGTGGCTGTCTGGTTTGGATTTCCAAACCAGCAGCACTCACGCCTCAGCAAACTTTGCATTTAACAGTTCACCTTTGGAGACCTTCATTCAAGTTTTTAAACCGCTTTCTATCGTCTTAGCTCCAGTTGAACTAGGCATCGAAGTTTTTGGGGAGGTGTGAAAGCAAAGTGCTGCGATGAAAATGTGCTGGATTCAAAAACTCAGACAAAATGAGTGCATTCTAGTGAAAATGAAAGCACTCATCAGTGAACTCAGTAATTATGAGTTAGATAACACAGAGTTGCAAATAACATTTGGTCAGCTGCTGTTCTGGGAGCCAACTAATTTCAAACTGCTGGAAAGACATTCAGGGGATGAATGTGTGGGCATATGTGCAGACACTCACTGGCTCTCACACAACTGTGGGGATATACCAGTGTCATAAATATGTTAGTTAGTTTGCATTTTGAAAATCTTTGTTTACTGTACATGTACCTTGGTGAATTTTGGAAAGGCATTAAAATATAAAGAAGTTTATTAATACTAAAGATTTCTGCAACACCAACGACTTGCATTTTTGGGCTTTCTTGTTGCATCATGTGAGTTTTGGTCTGTTTCTATAAAGTTTTGGTGTTGTTCCTTTACCATTAGGCTTTCCCCCAGTCCCAAAAAGTATAATAGTGTGGATGCATGCTCACTGTTCCCTTTAGTCCTTATTGTCATGGGCTACTGAACACTCCAATTAGCATATGCCATGTTTCACTGTTCTTTCTGCTGAGTCTGCTTGACAGTTGGTGCCTGAATTGTTAATAGGATATTGACAGGTGGTAGCTTTGAGCCTCAGTGGGGTTAACTCCTCCATCATGTAGTTTGAAAAGTGCACACATGGGAGCTACAGATACACACCAGTAGCCCCTTTCCTAATTGTTAATCATCTTTCCGTGACACTGAAGAATTAAGCAACAGTATAGCTGAAAATGAAGTTCTGGAGCTTAGGTGCACTGGTGGCAATTAGTTTTATCCCTGATTTTCCGTTGTTTATTAATTGAGGTATGTGGGAAAACCAGGACCTTCTACATTGACTTTTTAGGGAACCATTTTGTCTACAGTGCCATGTGAAGGCAGATCCCAATGGTGAACTCCCATTGTTCTAAGCTTTGTCTCTTGAGGTGACTGTTAATTACTTTTTTGGGGGGGTTAAAATCTGCAAATCCTTACCTATGACTTCCATGGTTTATAATTGGACAAGGTAGGTGTTTAGTACTGTGGTAGCTATGTGCTAGCTTTACAGTGTTTAGAGGATCTTGTGGTATGAATCCACATGTGTAGTTCATCCATCTATCTGTCTGTTCCTTTGTTATCTTACATTCGTATCTGATCAGGATTGGCTGGGATTGGAGTCCATATCAGCGGACAAAGTGCGTAGAAAAAGCAAACAACCAATCACTCTTACATCCCCACCTACGGCCAGTTTAAAGGGATAGCACACTGCCATTCTAATCCACTAATCATTTTTTTTTTATGTATGTTTTTTTTAAGTAAATGTGTTAAATCTCAGCTAAATAATCCTAGTTTTGATTTCTGCTATAATCAGGCATCCTTACTTCACAGTGGAAATCCGACTGCCTGACATGCTGTTTGTTGGAATCAAAATCAAAGCAAATAAAAATACTACAACTGTGGCTACAAATCTTAAGGCCAAAGTACAGGTTTCTGTTTTTATTATCCTAACTAAGGGAGTTAATGAAATATAGGTGTGCACACATATATAATGATTCAATTGTCCAATACGTTTAATCAAAGAGTTTACAAAGTAATAACTTTAAAACAAAAAAAAAAATGCTTAAATTAGTCACTAAATATACAGGGATGGGTGTTAATAGGTGCTGAGCAGGAAGCACAGAGGGCAGACCTTCACCTGTGTGGTCTTTGACCAGGTTTGTTTGGTTAATAATCTTTGCAGCAGATTGACTATGAAGGGCTGATTCACACGGACTTATCAGAAAGTTGTTTCAACATTTATTATAATTGTGCAAGATGATCAAATGATGGCACATATAGTCTACATGTAATCTGCTATGGTGCTAACAAAAATGTAAAAGAATGACTGAATAAACTGAATAAAAAACTGCACTAAAGTATGCAGTAAGTTCACAGCATGAGGAAAGAAACTGCTGATATTACAGCAGCAGATACTCCCGTTTTGCTTGCCAGGGGATAGCAAGGTGGATATTGGGCTCAACTCCCTAATACCACTTATGATGTGTAGATGGGTGGTTGGGATACTCTTGAGGGGGGTTTAATTCCCCCACAGCACCCATCCAGTCTCTGCTGTGCACATCTCATACCAGATTGTGATGTTTCCAGTCAGGATGCTTTCATTGCTCCTCTTCAGACGTTAACAAGACAAGATGAATTTGGTCTTCTTTGATTTCCTTACGAGGCTTCTAAACTTTCTTTACCACGGTTGAGATCTGTCTGCGACTTAAACTCTGCAAAGCACTGATGTGGGCTCTAATCTGAGGTAGCTTTAACTGGTGATTTCTAAGACAGATAAAAGTTATGAAACTATGTACTCAGCTCAGAATTTTCATATCCTTTGTATTCACATACTTAACATGAAATTATTTCATAGTTTTTATTTATTCAGTTTTGGCATACAGTAGTAGAATACAAAACAGAAACACAATTTAATAGGTGTGTGTTGCTTTTTTCTGTCATTGTACATACCGATACTGCAAGAGTGTCATCTGTCTTTGTCTCACCTTTACTCTCGTCCCTCTGCAGGATGTTCCACTTGCGGGCATTGTCCGCAGTTTCAGTGGGGCTCGCGCAGCTGTCCCGGCGTTATCACAGCGGGGCAGTGCGAGAGTCTGGCCGGAGAAGGCTGATGCTGGCAGCCCTAGCTGGGGTAACCGGTGTGTCTGCTAGTGCTGGACTGCTGTGGAAGAGGTAGTTTTTTGTTTTGTTTTTTTACACCCTTGTGCCTCATTTTATTACTCTTAAAATAATAGTGGTCTTAAAAAAATACTGCATTTGTTCCTTAAGAAGCAATTTGAAGCAAGCTGATGTGTAAACAACTCAGTGATTTACAAGCAGCCTGCTCAAGGTGCAGATTGCTTCTCGGCTGAAGGCCTGTCTAGTGTTGCTTAATACAATGTGGCATGACTGGGAATTCAATTTAAACATGTTTGTTGAGTTTCATTTTTATTGATTTTTTGTCACTTGAATGACACGCCATTTTTTGAAGTGGGTTTTCCATCATGTGTTTAAACTTCAGCACTGTTCTATGGGACAGCATTCAGTGAACAGGACTTGAGGTTCATTGAGCAAATTAGGAATTGCTTTTGGCTCAGTACTCAAAAGCAGCTAGACTTTAGAGCACATGTTACATTTCATTCTCCTGCTTGTTGTGTTTTTATGGCTATCCATTGCCTTAAAGCCTGTTGTTTAGTTAAGACAATGTGCTGGAGAAGGTGTTGAGGTTAGAGCTCTATGGGGACACACTGACTGTGCTGCAGGAGGCAGAGTGATGGATGGCGCCTCAGGGCATTTGAGACTGATGGAACGAGACTGTTCCAGGCCTTCACCCTGGGCTTCATTTTCAACGCGTGTCATTAAACTGAATTATTCAGCCTGCTCCAGACAGTCCCAGCTATTTATTATTATTATTCCAATTTCAGTTTAGTCAGAAAAATGGTAACGTGGGAGTCTGCCATAGTAAAACCTCCCCGCACTGCACCGATGAGCAAAACACAGCAGAGCACATAATCTCCTGGCCCTTTTGCCTCTCTGTTTTTCAATCTGTTTAGCATCATAGCGACAGTACACACCTAGCTGCAAAACACAGTCTGCTACATACCTCCCGAGATCTACTTGGTACTAGAGCAAAGCACAAAGACATATTGCTGAACTATCTATTCATCTATTCAGATAACATCGATCTGTCCCCCAGGTATTGATCTGTTTTGTAATCTGATCTCTCTTTTTGTTAAATTTATTTACAAAACCAGAGCATATGCAGATGCTGGGTCTTCTGTTCGACACTCTGAGCAAGTAAGTGGAGAGGAACCGGATTTTGGGAGACACCCAGACTCCGAAACGGAGTCAGAGAAATCGGTGGAGGCCAGCAGTGGAGATGAGGATGAAAAAGACGAAGGTGGAGAGGGGAAAAAAAAGAAGCAACGCTCTGGATTCCGTGACCGCAAGGTGATCAATAAACAATAACCATTCAGCCATGCAGTCAGTCTTCCTATTTAATTCATCTCCACAATGTTGTTTTGAAACCCCCAGCAAGCAATTTCCAGTATGCCAGAGCTAGTATATTTTGACAGAATATTTGCTGAGACTAAGAAATGTAATGGGGTAATCAGCATGCATAAAGAACAGGAATGTCCCACTCCTATGATTTTATTGCTGTTAATTAGGCAGAAGATGACAAAGGATATGGAGATAAAGAACAAAGGATCTTTGATTTGATGCCAAATAAGCAGTGTTTGTTGCACTGCTTGTTGGAGGATGTGAGGATAAAAACAAAAAAAAGGAGGAAGAACTTTTAAACAATTCAAGCCTTTTTTTTTTTTTTGAATGATGTAAAAATTGCGCAGTCACTCTGAGGAGCAGCCACAGTCTGTAAAAAGCAAATAGATGTCTAAGGGCTGACTGTCTTTGAAGTGGTCCAGTGTTGGAATTTTAAGTGTATGTTGAGTATATCCACAGATTTTGGCTTTCTTTGTGTTTTATTCATTAGGTGATCAGATCAGGAGATGCTTAATAATAATAATAAAAATAATAATAATGCAAAATCATGCAGCAGGAAGACATTTTTACTCCAATGTTTGTGTTTGAAATTCAGTGGTGTCACTTTTTTAAACTGAGTGCTACCGCTGTCTTAGATGTTTCACAACACTGAGTGAAAATGCGAAACACAAAATAATAAGTTCCTCGTGTGACTTGAATTTTACCTTCCTGGTTTTGTTTGGGTTTTTGAATTTTTTATTTAAATTGAAAGACAGCTCATGTCTTCATCAGTGTTGAAAATGCTGAGATCCATAATCTGTAAACACAATCAGATGAAAGCTAGAGAGAAAGAAGAGTGCAACCCAGTCTTTCTGTCAGTCACTCAGTTCTCTGCCATTTCCACACAACTGTCTAATAGACCTTCATCCATACACAGTTGGTTGCCTCTGCTGGAGACATGCTCATGGTGATTTCCCCAAAGACTATTAAGGTCTCCTAAAGTGAGAGTACCGACACTGACACATGTAATCATAAATATGAAATTGAAGTGAATGTAGTGTGACTGTGTGACTGTTCCCCACAGATATTTATCATAAAACTGAGTTTGATAACAAAAAGTTGAAGCTCTGAAATGTTTTTTCTTTTGCCAAAAGAAGTTTCTGTAGTGAATGCAATCAATCAATGTCACACAAAATAACCACCTGTTTGGGTTCCAGCCCAACACAGATTCTAAACACACACTGCCCTGTATGTTTCCCAGCTACTCCACATCTGTTTGAAACTTTCTCCTGAAAAGTGGATGGCATTGCAGCAAATAACAGTTGACAGGGGCTAATGTGTCGCGCCATGCTGATGGTCTGTAGCTGTTATTTGTGTTGTCTACAGATTTATGTAGTTTTGGTAACTCTCCCTTCATATTAACCTAGCAGGCAGACTGACCCCGAATAGGAAAACACTCTGTGTTCCTGATTTGAATTTGTGGCAGTTGAGTCAGGAGGTTAATATACCTCCCGATCAAGGATGACAAATTGGTTTCCTGCTGCTCTGGGCTCCCCTTCACTCAATCTACTCTCACTTAACTCATGTTATTTTCTGTCTACACACATGGTTGAAATATTGCTGGTTCTTTGATTTGATCTTGTTGATTTTTATGTATATTACATTAAAGCTTTTGCCTAAAGTGGGAATCTTGTGATATTAATTTTGCTTTCTGGCTGGTTGGCAGGTGATGGAGTATGAGAACAGGATACGAGCCTACTCAACTCCAGACAAGATTTTCCGCTACTTTGCCACTCTGAAGGTCATCAATGAGCATGGAGATGCTGAGGTTTACATGACGCCTCAGGACTTCATACGCTCCATCACACCTAATGAGAAGCAGCCTGAGAGTAAGTTCTTAATTTCACCACTTTTGCTTATATTCTTTTAGCTCTTTCTGTGCATGCTCTTCTTTCCATTAATGGCATCTGCACACTGACTTAATGTGAGAGTGAGCATGTTTTCTGTAACACATTTATCTAACACTTTCAGCATGCATGCCTTCACATTACCAGATATAGGTATGGTATAAACAAGATGAAGACTGTGGAGTTCATTTTATTTAGTTCAGCTGAATAGAATGCAGGATTGTTTTGGAGAATGCCTTAAATGGCAGTAACATCTCAGTGTGAGATGCTCTAACTAATTTCACCGAAGTTTCCAAGCTGCTTTTTTATGGGAGTTTTTCTAAACACATTCCAGCACTGACATTGGTTTAAAACATCAGAGGAGTAAAGACACTGTTTACCGGCCTTTCGTTGCCAGACCTCTACAAAATTATGTTTAGTATTCCTGCATTCACTTTACAATTTCACATCTATTACAGATTGAAATGACTCTAAAATAAAAATTTACTTATCTTCTTTATAACAAGTCAGAGGCTGGAATAGATCAAATTGATCCAGTAATGATTTCAGTCCATTGTTTTGAAAAACATAAATGAAAGCTGAAATTGGTTTCGTGTAACCAAAGGCAGCCTCCAGTTTTAAAAAAATGAAGTCAGCGCAAAAGTGCTAAAAACTGCAGTTTCTCAAGTGGCCACTTGAAGCTGGTTCTAAATGGGAGTCCCGTTTAGACTCCCATGTTGAACTGTATACTATACAGCAGAAATAATTTTGTTTACATTGTTGTGCAACAAGGGTTTGGTCTCTCCAACTGATTTATCTCTTTGTAACAACCTTTTAGGACTGTTGAAAGCTTTGAATGATAGCACAGCTAGCTCCCATGAAAATACGACAACATCTCAATGCTTGAGAGTAAGATGAGTAAGACGTGTCAAATCAAATCAAATCAAATCACTTTTATTGTTACATCACATGTGCAGGTACTCTGGTACAGTACATGCAAGTGGAATTCTTGTGTGCGAGCTTCACAAGCAACAAAGTTGTGCAAAAATACAATAATGTAAAACAAGCAAAATATAAGAATGGCTAAATCTGAAAGTAATAAATATATGTACAATATATAAGAGTATATGCATTACTGGATGTGTATACTAAATATGTTTTTCTACGTGTGTGTGTGTGGGTGTGGGTATGTATACATATTTTACAAATTAAATAGAGTAAAGAATAAAATAAAATACCGTATTTCCCGGACTACAAAGTGCACCTGAATATTAGCCGCACAAGCTAAAATCAGGGGAAAATCCTGTTTTGTACATACATTAGCCGCACCTGACTAAAAGCCGCAGGTGTTTCAATGTTGACTTATCATATGTAAGAGAATATGCACAAAGGGAATTGTCAGGAAAGAGACGGCTGTTTGGAGACACACCCCTTTTATTAATATTTTGAAAAACAAGTTATGGGTACATATTTGCACATGTAGTACATAACAGTAACCTACAGCACACCAGAAAAATAGATTCGGACTACCTTTTAGGCTCAGGTGCAGTGACACGGCTTTAACAAGAAGAAAAGTCAGTCATTCACCATCTTTCTCTTCTTCCTGCGCTCTAAAACCACCAAAGTCCTCTTCTCCAATGTCGGAAACGAACAGGCTCAGGATGGCTTCGTCATCCACTCTCCGCTTCTCTCCTTCGTTGTCACTTTCAAAACCAAAGAAATCCTCGTTGTCAGTGTCGGAGTCGAACACCCTCAGAAGGGCCGTGGCGGTGTCCTCCTCTCCATCATGCAGCAGTCCAGCCCTTCAAAATCCGTTGGTGATCATGGATGTTTTCGCACTTTTCCACGCTGTCAGAATCCACCGGTGGAGTTGGGCATAACTTGCTTTTCGCAAGTTTATCGCCGCTCGTCATCCACGCCTCCCGCTGAATGCGTAACGCTACTTTGAAGTTTGTTTTTCGCGCTACTTCGTACGGCACTACGTTGCCTGGCGGACGGACATGTGACTAACATACCACTCTTGAACCCCGATCCTTCCGCCAGGCAACGTAGTGCCGTACAACAGCGGAACAAACAAAACAAATCGTCTTACGATATCACAAAAATCATGGAAAATCCATAGAAAAGCCGCACCTGACTAAAAGCCGCAGGGTTCAAAGCTTGTGCAAAAAGTAGCGGCTTATAGCTCGACAATTACGGTATATAAAATATACAGAGGTTGGTAGTTGGACATGTGCAAAACAGTGGCATTAATGTACAGTATGGAGTGCATAATGTTGAAGTTCCAGTAGTGAAGGTGAGGTGTCTATGAAGTGTTCAGCAGTCTGATGGCCTGGTGGAAAAAGCTGTCTCTCAGTCTGCTGGTACGGGACCGGATGCTGCAGAACCTCCTTCCTGATGGAAGTAGTCTGAACAGTTTATGGCTGGGGTGACTGGAGTCCTTGATGATCCTCCCCGCTTTCCTCAGGCACCGCTTCCTGTAGATGTCTTGGAGGGAGGGAAGCTCACCTCCAATTATCCGTTCAGAACACCGCACTACTCTCTGGAGAGCTTTGCAGTTGTAGGCGGTGCTGTTGCCATACCAGGTGGTGATGCATCCAGTGAGGATGCTCTCAATGCATCAATGCATATTATAGTCAAGTGTATCAACTTTAGATGTTTAGTTAACTAAAAAATTGATTAAAATTATAAGAATTTAGATTCCTAAATTATGACTAAAACTTAAAATAGTTTTGGTTAAAGGATTACGACTAAAGCCAAATGCTAATGCTAGCAAAGCTTGCTATCATTAGCTGATGAATTAACCACATTTAGATGACAGGGTAGTGTGTTAACTTTGGCTCAAAAACACCAATGTGGCTAAAGCCAAAATGGAAATGTCAATGCCTCAGAGCAGATACTTGCTAGTATCAGATACTAGTAAGATAAAAGCTTTTCCAAAACAAGTTAATTCCACATATTTACTCACATGGCAACATCTGTAGCTTCAGTAATAACAGGAAGTTATCAAGAGCACAGAGAAAGGATCATTTAGGAGCTAAGAGCACATGACATGGTATAGTTCACTCCAGACAGATGAGTTGTTGGTTGTAAGCTAGAGGTTAATAATTTTCCCATTTTTTTGCTCATATGTTTATGGATGCATTCCCTTGATATCTGCATACATACATACATACATACATGCATCTCTAATGATCAAAGTAGCTACTAAAATATATATGCCTGGTGGGCAAAACTCTAACCATATGTATTATATTTCACTTGATGTTCTGCCAAATCTGGCCTGTGTAGATCATATCATGTTCGTGATGGCTTGTCCCATCAGCGTTTTGGGTATTTCAGGAGAAACATTAGCATGACAGTGATGTAAATGGCAAAATTTGCTTGCTTTAACAGATTGATGGAGCCGGAAATGTTACGTGTCCCATGTGTGAAAAGGGCAATACTTTCACCCACTGACATACCCTCCTCTTTCATATGATTGTACTCCCTCTTTAGCTTCTTTGGTCTGTCACAGTGGATATAAGTAAATGTCAAGTCTGATTCCTCTCCTGCAGTAGAAGTGTAGCCCCAAATACAACCTGGAGATCTGAGATATATAGTTACACAACTTCTATGCAGGTTGTTTATGGTCATTAATAAACAGGGTAAGATGTTTCCATTAAGAAATGCTGAGATCATGTCACTTAAATGGCAGCGCCTTACCCAACACATCCCCCCTCCCCTGTGCTCCGTTCAGGGACACTCAACACACATGGCTCTGGACTTGTGAAAGTTCGTGCTATAAGGATACTAGTACAAGAAGGGAGGGGGTGGGTAGTCCCGTCATGCTGTGTTTAGAAGTCACGACACAGCAGTTGGTGTATCAATTAACAAGTTCAAACAAGAGCAGATCTCAGGCGTCGAATATGGAGCCAGTGAGAGATATTTGATCTACAGCCATGGGAGAGTTGTGAAGTTAGGAAGCTTAACTTGGCATAGATTTGTTTTATCACCTCCCTCGTCTCTATCTGTCATTACTATTCAACTCCAAAATTCAGTTAGATTCACAGTCGTATTCTTGGTTTATTGTTAAAGAACGTTTCATTCACAGTAAAGGACTCAAGCGTGCTTAACACTCAATAAGGATTAGTCTGGATGTCTCACATTTGTGTTGATTCTCAGCTATTCCATCTGTTAATAATGTTTAAGACTTGGCTTAGCTTGGTCCCCAAACCTTTTATTCTTAGATTCACCTTTCGCTCATGTGTCAATTTTTTTTAAAGCTATTCATTTATTTAAGGTTACTGTCTTTTGCTAAACTGGCATTAAAATAATGATAAACTGTGCTCTGATGGACAAGCAGATAACAAAGCCAAAAGAAAGGATTTTGTTCATAAGTTTCCCCCCCTGCAGAAATTTTTCTGGGACCCTTTTGGACCTAAGTCTAGTACAACTTAAAAACTTGTTACTATTTCTTAACTTCCAGGGTTCGTACTTTCTGGAAGGTCAAGAACTTTAGGGGTTAAAGGTGAGGCTGAGATTTTCGCAGCAATTTGCTTTAGTTAGTCTGTCATCTTATGACAAAACAGTTTGCTTGTTTTAAATTGAGGAATTCAAGTGTTTTACTTTTGCTCACCGCTTTTCCAGAACTGACCCCATTAGACAAGCAACCAACAGCAGCATGGTTTCACCCTCTTTTCTGTTACGTCTATATGATCCGTCCAAGTTTGCCACATTTTCACTACACGATGTTCATGAGCAGAGGGATTTATGATACTGATACAATACTAGAACACTACAAGCATGTGTATGCTTGTAGTGTTCTAATATTGTATCAGTGCATACATGCAGTGCAAAGGTGGATAGGAAACTGTCATTTTATTCAAGCTAGATTATTTACAATATATTGATATTACACAACGAGCTTCAAATTTCCTCCACCATTAAAACTGCTGAATTCTAATAGCAGTGATGCATGTAAGTTGTAGATGATGTGCAACAGCTGTCTGCTCTTTCTGAGTAATACTCAATATAGATTAAAAAGAATGAGTTTTTAAATATCAAGCTTATCAATGTCTATACATCCTCACAGCCCACATTATTTTATATTATATTCTTCTCCATGGGAACCAACTACTGAAAAAAAGTAGCTTTTTCATACTCCAGTGAACTAATTTGTGGTTTCCTGTAATTTAGATGAAACAGACTTTTAAGTCTTTTTATTGTGTTAGAGTTAGATTTAATGAGGTCAGTCTGAACTTACTCTCTGTGTGATCCAAAGAAGCTTGAGTGTGACTTTTGGAATTTAAAAGGACTGCAGGTTCTGCATGAATTATCATATAATGGATGAAAATTGCCGCCTCACACCAAAGTTAGTTAGATTTAGCTTTATTAAAAGGTGCGGCTCTCTTTTATGCAAAACGAAGAACTTATTTTTCAGGGATAATTAATAGTTTAGTAAAAATCACATTTTCTGTCCTCCTTTCAGGGAGAAGCAACAGAACCATAATAATAAGCATCGAGACTGATTTTCACCTGATCCAAATTGTGTGTGTGTGTAACCGAAGTGATTGTTTGTTGTGTTGGCATGAAATAACACTGATTTCTAATTAAACCAAATGCCTGAAAGTACTCGTGCCAAGATAATCTGTGTGTAAATACAATTCCTGCATGGTGTGGATCTTGGTTTGTGTTGCTCATCTGGATCTATAAAATGAATCCTTGTTTGAGAACTGAGTCGTAACTGATGATCAGGCCAGCAAACGCTGAATGCTGATCATTGTTTGGCAAAATGCAAATGGGTTTGTTAATGACTATTATTATTCTCCAGCACATGTCTTTTGTTACCAGAGGTTCAACAGTGACACCAAGTAAATGTAATTGCTCTGGTTCATGCTCTTAATAAGTCTGTCTTCGTTTGTTAGAATTTTTCTGCCCAAATCTATAATCTCCTTGTATCTCTCTCTTTTTTTCATAGATCTAGGCCTCGACCAGTTCATCGTGAAGCGGTATGATGGCAAGGTAAGGAACAGGTGTCTAGGTCTTGGTCTATTTGGTCATCATGCAGGTCACCAGGAGTTTAATTGTGTCATAGCTTAATTTTTAATTCTTAAATTCAGCTTAGAGTAGCTGTTGTGGGATTTTTGTGAGTGTAATGTAAACCAAGAGAAGAAGGTTTATATCTTTCCTATTGCAAAGCTTGTTACATCTTACTAGTCCAACAGAGGGGTTTATTACCCAGATTTAAGAATCAGTTCATCAAATAAAAAACAAATAAAAAAAAAAGAAAAAGAATTTTTTCAGTCACACAAATTGTTGATTGTTTTAGTTTTTAGCTTTAAAAGACTGAAAACATTGAAAACTTAATCAGCAGCCTAGTTACTCTGAATAATCCACAAATCTAAAAAATATGTGTTTTTTTTTCTTGAGCAGAAATAGACCAAAGTGAAGTCGACATTTAGAAAAATGCCTTTTTTAAAAATGTATTTAAAAATATTTAGAATTGTATCTTCATGCAGAAAAGATGAAGCAAATGAAGTCTGCACTTGATAATTAGCCTTTTAATCATCAGATTATAGTAAGGTTTTTATCTGTTCATGACTTAAAAAAATATGCAAACAGAGAGAGGGAATTATGAGTGAGGTTTTATAAGGTTTGGTCTTACTGAAATTAAGTGAGTATAAAAGTCAGTATTATCCCCTCTGAAAGAAAAATAACTAGAGCCAAATCACAGGTTAACTCGTAAAATATTAGCAACTTTGTGTGAAAACTGTGAATTAAATCTTGCATAGAGACAGAACTACATTTGTTCATTTTTCTGGATGAATTGGTAATGCTGGAGAGCTTTGCATGAAAGGAATCTATAACTCTGTTGAACAAACATTAAATACTTATCGCAGGAAGTTGGATTGCAGCATTTCAAAAGTGGCAAAGAGAAAGCAAAGAAATAGAAAACATCATTACATCCAGCAAACAATCCAGAAATTAGTAGCAAATATCTAATGCTGCTGTCTGAATAACATGTTTAACTTGTATTTTTTTGTATTTTCCTTGTTTCTGTTGTTAAGCTGTTGTGTGTAAGTCAGTTTTGTCAAAACAAAATATTAGATTAGAATAACAGTCAAAAAATGTTTTTGCCTCCGCCATCTTAAATATTGAAGAGGAACAGTATCTTATATACTTCTTTGCTCGTGTCTTTGCTTTTGGTCCTGCGTTTGCTGTCTGCTTCCAACCCGAATGTGTTGTTTTCTGACTATTGTTTGAGCTCTAAAATTCAGAAAAAGGATTAAAGGCCAGAAAAGCCATTTAGTGTGAAGGTGCCTTTAACAAAGCACTTAAGAGTAACTATAATAGGGACATGCACAAAGAAGGCCCGCCCACTGTATAATGACCTCTTCAAAGACAATGGCAGCATGCAAGCATTATAGGCTGGCCCCTTATGGACACTGATTGACTTCAGGGAGCTAGTGCCAGTGCTCTAAATGCTGACATTTCCATGAATATAAATCACCAAGATCATATTGCATAAGTACATTTATTGATATTGATTAGTGACCATTACTGCCCTTCCATAGATTTCGGACAGCACCTCTCAACACCCAACAGCTAAGCGTTCATTTAATATTAGCTAATCATCAGTGTGGCGATTGTAGCTTCTAACCTCATTACAAAATTCATCAGGCCTCAGGTTGCTACGAGTCTCTGCCTGATCTCCATATTGAAGTCAGATGAACAGGTAGCGAGGGATTGCAGTCTACTTTTTTGTCATAGGTTTCTTCCTGTACTCCTTTCTCTGCTCCTGCTCTTTTGCTTTACCTTACCTTATGTTTTGTGAGACCTAGAGTACTTTTACTCACCCATATTTTAAAAATCTGTTAAAAGTATGGGATATATAGTAATCAAAGGGGCTTATGAAATTGTGTGGCAGACCAAAATTAAAGTGGAGCACTCGTCCTGTCTGGCCCTTGTCTGTTTATGTAAATGATCCGATGCTTCAGTCCTCATGTTTCTTGCATTTGCCAGGCATGTTTAGCTTTGGATTTTCCCTGGCAATTTTACTGCCATGGCTAGAGTGGCCCGAGAGATTCCCATCTTCTTAACTCCTCATTTGCCCAGAGAGACACACCTTCTTCTCACCTCTAGCAATTTAGAGGAGTAAACTATTACTTTTTCCATTTTACTATTTAGGTTAACACAAACCTGAAAAGTACAATGAGTAAGACCTACATGAAATGCCCAGAGAAGTGTAATGGTACAATATCTGTTTAAATCATGAAGTGAATGGAAATATAGTTAAGTACGAAGGGAGCATTTCAGCTAAACCAAAGCTAAAGCCCACACCATGTGTGAGAATGCCATGAAAGGTCTCCTAAAGGCCTCTGTATCTCACTTCCCATGGTTTTATTTAAAAATAGCTAAGCCAACTGCAATGTTTGGGCATAGTTAAGTGGGAATATGTGTAGGTGTACGTCCTTCTGTCCACCATCTCCCGCTGACACTAAATTTGTTCCAGGTTCAGTCTTTATGTAAGACAAACTTGTATGGTTATTTACCAGTTGTGGTTCATATTGACTCAACCTGCTCATTGTGTTGTTTTCCATCCATGTGTGCAGTATCGCGATTGTTTTAAAAATCTTTAACTGCTTGTCTTTGCTCGACAAATCGTTTAAGCGCACCTCTCCTTCTGCTGTTATTTCCCTGCCTCGCTCTGGTTATTCTTTCTGTCCTCATCATGTTGGTATGCTTTTCAGCTGCAGTAATCCAATGTTGATGTGACCTGACCTTGTTAACTGTTGATTATTCTCTCATGCTCTTATCAACCATTCTCTCTCATTCATGTAACAAATAACACCCCTCCCCCCATGTTCTCTCTTCTCTTCCTCTTGAATAACCATCATTGTCAACTCCCCGTCTCCCAACATCCCCTCTTTTTTTCTCTGCCTCATTTTCCCAATCATTACATCTGCTGATCCCCACTCTCCACCAACCAACTCCCCTTCCCCCTTCACCTCCTCTTCATCTCCTCTGTCTCGCTCCCTCCTTCTCATTCTGCCCCTCCCTCTCTGCAGGACTTCTGGCAGGTATGGGGTGTGTGCCGAGCAGCATGTGTGCACCTGAATGAATATATGCACTCTGTAGCCACTTGCTACTCCCTCTATCTCCTTTATACTCTTTCCTCCTCTCCCTCTGATTTCTCTACTTTCTTTTGACTACTGGCTCTTTCTCTGCAGTAATATGGAGGGCATAGGTGTTCACCATTGTTAGTTCAGGGGAACGGCTATTCAGACACTTTTATTCTCCAGTGTTTACCACGACTTACATGCACTTTGACTAGGACAGCAGCCAAAGTGTGCTTTTTAATATTTACATCTTAACTAGATTGCCAATAACAATTCCTAAAATTCCATACTGGTTTTTCCCTCATAGCTTCAAGCTGCTGCAGGTGGGATGGAAGTAGAATAAAGCAGTACTGTAGTACTTTAGTGCTTTATTTTTTTATAGTAAGCAGAATATGGCCATGCAAAGTACTTGTTACTGATTGGCTGGTAACCGCTTTAAAGACAGTGCAGCTGGACAGTAACCTGCACAAGTAGCTGCTTTAGTAATCAGGAAATTGGTCTGTTTAATTGTTAACCACCTTTAAACAGACTCCAAAAAGCTTGGTAATATAAATGCTTATCTACCTTATGCACTTTGAGATTTATCTTGGCAAATAACTTACTTGGTTGTTATAGCTTTCTCCACCCCTGCCATGTCTCTTTATTTGATCCGCTGCAGTAAGATACCTAATACTTGTAGTATTGTTTAAATGTCAAAGAGATTTGGTCTTTAAGCAGGTTGAATGCTTCTGTCAGTCAGCACTGCATGAAGATAAGCTAGTCATAGCAAAGGGCAAGTTACAGCCTGTTCACCATATCATGACTGGTGGTGCAATAATGTGAAGTAGGCACACACGCCCCATTGTCTGTGATCCTGTATCAAATATGCAAACTCCAACTCCATATTGTTATTGGACGTTGTGTTGGAGACCTTCCCAGTGCCCTTTGTAAAGCTTTGTTAGAGGCAGCTATATACCATGCCTTCCCTGCTGAATTATTGAAAGTGCAGGCTATAGTTTGCCTTGACAGCGATTATTAAAGACTGCAGCAATCCTATATCATTTATATATACTAATCGGACCCCAAAGTAAAGTCCACCTACTTTCATACATAAATAGTTGTTTTAAGTTTTGCAAAGGTAGAATAAAAAGGCTCGCTGAAATGATTTCTTTGTTAAGAGTACTGGTCAGTAAGACATGCTAATGGTGCTGTTCCCCTGCACTCTCACTGTCTTGCTTTACACGCACACCTCTCTCTTCTCATCTTTCATTTCTTCTAATAACAGCTGTAGCTTTCCAAATGCTTTGGCACTTGAGCTGTTTCCCAGCATGCACTGCTCTGATGCCTGCGTCTCACAGAGAAAGTAGCTGGTGGCGGCGCCCCCTCTCTGTGCATGATGTCATCACAGGGTGGTTTGGGCCCAGAAAAAAGCCATAAAGGCTCTGTTAGCTGATGTCAAGGCTGAATTGGTGTGCTTGATAGTCTGCACAAATCCATCCTCTGGACTGTCCGGGTGTCAGTGCTGCATGATCTCTGTAGAGCATGGTTTAGAGTTACTGGAGGCAGGACTTGGTTTGTACATTTAAATGTATGCAAACTGTTCCTACATGTTCTGGCTCACTGTGTTTGTAAAGCAACGCTGTCTTCCGGATGACCTCCACCGACGGAGAGTCGAAACCTGTCACTCAGAGGGAGTGCTGCTCCAATGGAAAACACGCCACTTGTCACACCAACTGTTGTCATGTTTACCCTTTCTGATCTCACAGGACGCTCCCAGGGCCTGCTGCTTGGACTGATACAGACCACTTTTTATATATATATATAAAATCCTAATGGTGCTGTTATTTATATATATATGTGTGTGTGTGTGTGTGTGTGTGTGTGTGTGTGTGTGTGTGTGTGTGTGTGTGTGTGTGTGTGTGTGTGTGTGTGTGTGTGTGTATATATGTATATATTCTTCCGCTGTGTGTAATTTTCTACATGCTTTCTTTGTTCTCTGTTTTGTTGACACTGAAAGATCATACACAAAAATACACTGAATACTCCTGATCCTTCTCTATTTCTCTCTCTTCCACTCAGTTAGAGGTTGGTTTGTCTCAAAAGCTGGTCCTTTAATTCAGTTCAACCTGTCGTTTATAAGACAGCTGCCAGTCCTCAACGAACAAAATTTGTTTATTGAGCGTTCCACATCAGGAAGCATTATACTGAATGTGCTCACTGCATAAGTTATTAATGGCAAACCTGCTTTGTGGTTACCCCTGAGACCAGAGGTGGCTAATGCATTAATTTTCTCTCCTCCCACACACCTGCCGACCCACCTACAGAATGCAGTGTTTTGGTCCAATGATGCGATCATATACAGGGAGAAATTATCGTCTGCAGCTCAGTAAAAGATGAAAAATCACATCGTCTTTGTGTTTGTTGGGGTGCGTAGTTTGTGAATGGGGCGCCATGCTGTGTTGAAGATGCAGTGCAAGTGGGCTTGTAGGCTGTCAGACCATTCAGAAATATCAAGCTGAGACCTGGATTGACTTTTACCCTCAAGCAGGTCATCCTGAATTCAGTTTTCCCTGATACTCAAATCATTTATTGTACCCACAAAAGCGACAGTAACCTCAGAGCTACCACATCACATACTGCGGTGCAAAGGACACAACGGTCCTGATTCATTTTTAATGCATCTTTTGTCACACTCCTCCCGTCTTTCACTCTTTCTGCACTGTCGGTCAGGCTTTACATGTCACTGACCTTTTTTTCTTTCTTTCTTTTTTTTCCAGCCAGTTCATCAACACGCTCCAGTAAACCACGTTATTTTGAAACTCACCTTTGCATTCAGATGCGAGGTCACTTGAGGACAGGCGTCACTCAATAAACACATAAACAGCAGAATGAGAGCAAATTCTCCCTGTTGCTGCCTGAGCCTTTCATCAAACCCTAGACTCATAAATTTGTGTTTTTATTATGGCAGTCATGGAGGAAAAAGAGTGAAAGAGCAGAAAATACATGGATGACAAATTATGTATTTTTGGTATCCAAATGTGTGTACAAGCGGATTACAGAATTATGTGAATTGTGTCTCATATCAGTCAGTTGCTTCAGCAGTTGTCTGTTTGCTTTTGTTATGACACTGGATGTCAGGAGATTTGATCAGTCTCATTAGCACAGATGTGTTCATTGTCACATCCTTAAGTATTTGGAGCATGCCCCCCTTTTTTTTGTATTTTCTCTGTCACTGACACAAGATAGGGTGAAGTGACTTTTAGTTTCATAATGAGCTTTTCTTCCCCCTTTTTTTTCACCTTTTGACATCTTGATTGCTGATCTCTAATTTTTTATAGTCGTGTACACATGCAAAACTGTGAAAATGAAATTACTGTCCAGATAATCATGTTATATACAGTTTGTTATTTGTAAAAGTAACAAAACACTAAATAATGAAGGTAATGCATTGAAGCATCTGTCATTTGATGATTGATATAGGGTGTCGATATAAGACTGCATTGCTGCAAGCTGTTTTGGTTTTATCAAAGAAATTAGGATCTAAAATGTTTCTATGGCAAGTTTTTAAGTATATCACTTTTAAGTGTTTAGAAAATGTTTCCTTAGTATTTGCGTGAAATGAATAATGAATGAATAATTTGGCCTTCTGCATGCATCCCTTCAGCTGTGCCTGGTTGTACGGGTCTCATGCTTAGTTTTCTTAAAGCTAGTTTAAATTTGGTCAGAGTAGCCATGGGCTATTCCTTAGCTCTAGTGCACTAGAGAGATTAGCCCTGACCAGACCTTTAACTCTGTTTGTCCATTCCTCCTTGCTACCAGTGATGCCCAGACAGCAGCTCTGTCAGTCCTGTGTTTCTGCCTCACCTAACAGGCTAGTCGGATTGTCATCTCTAGCTGAAACACAAGGACAAGTATGTAGACATGTCCAGGCTCAAGCCAGAAGTCTGAAAAGCAGCCACACTCACATGTATACAGACAGATATGAAGTTGGTACTGATTAAGAGATAGGTTTTAATTTACTTGATTGCTGCAGCAATCACGTTTACAGTCATTTAAGTGCTTTGGGAAAAATCTACCAGTGTTAAATACTGATTTAAATGTAGTTGGTGTTTTATAGGCATAATGTCCTCCCTGTTGAGCTATCAAAACTAATGAATTACTAACTAATTAGACACAGAGACGAAGTCTGTCTAAGGAATCAAGTAACCTAGTAGCTGCATTTTGTAGATAAGACTTTCTGCCTTTTATCTGATGTTGTACTCTGTGTGCATTTCTGTACTGTTCACTGGCTTTTTGCTGGAGAACCCAGTATTGTGTGTCTCAAGTCGGAAGCCGAGGCTTGCACTAGTGACAGAAAGATGGAGGATAAAGTGTAAGTCCAGGCATGATCCTTACAACAGAGCCACAGGATGGGGAGTATGAAACATGGAGCATAGGTTGATATTCACAGTGCCATACCTCCTCTTCTTCTTAACAGCGTGCACATTGTTATAGCATAGAGCGAATAGAAAAAAACAAACAAAGAGAGAATGCTTTAATGTCAGCTCATTGGCACTGAAATCTGTAGCTATAGAGGGGATCCTACAAGACTTAAAAAACTTCCATCGTGTGGCCTTTTTATAACCCTGTGAAAAAAAGTTGAAATTCTTTGTAAAATGTAAAGGAAAACAGCCCATTTTGAATTTTTGTTCAGCAACACATTTCTTATAAAGTAGGGTGTTTGTCACTGTGTTGCATCAACTCTTCTTGTAAAAACACGCTGTAAGCATTTGGGATCTGAAGGAATTACTGTATTACTGTAAAAGGAAAACATGTTTTGCTTAATGTGGGATTTCATAAGTTTGGGTCATTTGAAGTGTGAGATGATGGTCCTCTCCTCTTTACCCTGTTATACGTGGCTCCATGATTTCTGTAGAGGATTCTGGCTGTATAGTTATATTTTTTGTGTGTTTTGTGTAGGACAGTTGTAGATAAAGCTTGAAACTACAGTGGCATGCCTTCTTTTTTTGCACATGTCCATTCAGTACTGACTCTCTGAATTGGACTTTATGTATAATTCTCTGAATCCTTTAATGATTTGATGAAGTGTATGTCAAAAATGCCTAAATTAGTCACAATCTTACAATAAAAAACAATATTTTTCTTCATTAGTCTGTTACAGACTTGTGAATCCCCAACCACCGCAGGGAGGCTCTTTTTATACCAAATCATCTTCATCAAGTAGTTTCATCAGATTTGTAGACGATAACAGCAAATCGAAAAAAAATTTGAAAAAACAAACCGTAGAATTTCTTATTTGAATATGTCATCTTTATACTGTTTTATATTAAATAGCGTAAAAAATTAGTTTGCTAATTTAGCATTGTCTTTTTGATTAATTTTAAATAGCATCTCAGTTTGTGGGAAGCTGGATTGTAATTGGATTTGTTTCACTCCAGGCTTTTCTGTGAGGATGCTGTTATCCTTGACTCAGACGAGTGAAAAATGTGATACTACCCCTAATGTGCTTGGTGCCTCTGCTCTGATCTTTATAATGAGGCCCAGTGTTTTTATGAGTCTTGGTGTACGGCCTTGTAGCTGTCCCATTGTGCCTACTGGCATACACACTCGTGCAGAAGTGTTTGTCTTTTCTGTTTTGTAGACTGGCATTACAGCTGCTTCTCACCTTGGACCCAGAGGACTTGTTCCATGTGTTATTGTACCCAACTTAGGGGACAGTACCAACCTCTTTCACTCTCGCACCTCTCACTTTATCTTGTTTTGCTCTTTCTTCTTCTTCTTCCTTCTTGCATTTATACACACAGTTACACCAGAAAAGCTTGCAAAGCACCTGGAATTAAAACATTGCCCTTTGCTGTCTTTCTTATTCTGTCACTTCTTGTAAACCTGTATGATTAAAAAATAAATTTCTCTCCCTCTGATTTCCCCTTTCTCCCTCACTCCCTTCTCCTTGGAGAATGAATATATCTTAAGTACTAGTAGAAACTGTTGTTGTCTTTGTATCTCTGACTTTTAAAACTGAGGATAGACATGAACTGGAGATAGAGATAAACTTTATGCCCTCATACTAATTGTCTTTTGTTTGTATGCAATGAGAAGGGAGTCGGTCAAAGGGGTAATGATTTGAAAGATTTGATATGAAGGGGGTGCCACCAAATGTTTATATTTATACATGTTTTGGTTCATGTAGTTAGTATATGTCTGTGACCCTTGCAAGTGATAACATGAGATTAGCTTTGATTTGTAGTGTACTCAGCCTGCGTTTGTGATTATACTGCAACATGACTTTGATTCACTTCAGTTTAGATATGCTCTGTGTACACAAAATGTGATAATATGTAGCACAGCAAATCATAGTCCTAGTGTGATTATTCATTGTACACTAATTGTAGTTGCACACCGTGAAGATTGCAAAGCATAATTGAATTCTTAACTTTGAGTGGCATCGACCAATTATCTTGTTTTGAGCAAGATTGTTTCAGTGTGTGTGTGTGTGTGTGCAGCTATATGAATGCAAATCTGTGTCTTTGCCATTAAAGCCCTGCTATAAACAAAGCAAAAAAACAGCAGAGGCCATGATTTTGTTTTTCTAACAGTTGTTTTTCCTCCCTCCTCATACTCCTCTGAAATGGACCCCTTTACAGACGGAGGTAACTCCACATGGGCTCAGCGTTGCCGAGCTCCCTCCTCCACCCCTTCTTCCTTCTCTAGGCATGCTCTGTCCGTCTGTTTGGTGGAGAGCCCTACTAGTGGGACACTGTCTTTCAAGTCTGTCACTGAGTGTGTAGTGTGCATGTGATTAAGTCGCACTTTCATGCAGTGCTGTGGATATACACATGGAAAACATGTCGTTAACTGTGTGTTTGTGTGTGTGAGAGAGAGTTTAATTCGCCCTGTTTTTAATGATTAATGCTCTGGGTTACATTACAGCTATGTTTAACAAATGGTGTGTGCGTTTGTGCTGCAGTCTCTCGTGATGTTTTCCCTCTCTTTGTGTCAGTTTCTCACTGTGAGTACGGTCTCTGGTGGACAATGTTTTATACTCGAGCTGACTGCTGACTAACCATCATCATCCTCACCTGTTTGGCTTCATGTGTATGCAGCACTTGCATGACTGTTCATGTGATAACCCAGCTATATGAAGTGAACTTTTTATTGTGTGTGTATGTGTGTGAAAGACCAGAATGTGTTTAGATTTTTGTGTTTGAGCAAGTCTTTAATTGAGCCTTGGTCCTACACACACATACACACACGTACTTGCTTGCACACACACAACTGCACAGCTATAGAGGCTGTAAGGCTAGTGCTGGATCATGTGGAAGGTTTTTTAATATAGCTTTTACCTTTTTGTGTGTGTGTGTGTGTGTGTGTGTGTGTGTGTGTGTGTGTGTGTGTGTGTGTGTGTGTGTGTGTCCTGACCTGGATGAGCAGAAGATTGCCCAGGAGAGGGAGAAGTTTGCAGATGAGGACAGCATATTTTTCACACTGGGGGAATGTGGCCTTATCTCCTTCTCTGACTACATCTTTCTCACCACTGTGCTGTCAAGTAAGTACATTGTTGAAATGTGCAAGACTTCCTAGAATTGAAGTGGTTCACATGACCTGTCTCATTAAGTATAACATCTTTTAAATCGTCTGCATAGTTCACAGATCAGATCTCATGAGAGTCTCTTTTGTGTCTTCTCTGCTCTCTACATTTCTACTTGTCAGTTAGGACAGAAAGTAAAAGAATGGATGTCTTTTGATACGACGTTATTAGGGAGGACAGGACATGTATAAGACGTGGATTTTAAATGTTAATGTGAGCTGACCAAGTCTGCTTACACAGAATCAGTCTTACCTTGATCTAGTATTGGTGGTTCATACAGGAAATAAATCGCACATTAATGCCTCCACTCCCAACGGGCCGTAGTGTTTGGTAATAAAATGAAAATGAAGCTCAACTCGTTCCTCTCCAAAGGCTAGTAAACTTTTATCCCCAACTCTGCTAGACCTTTTATTATAATCCGTTCATAGGGAGAAAACCTTAAGGGAAGTTTTCAAGGACAAGCCTTTTTTTTAAAGCAGACGAAGCAGGATGCATTATGGTTGGTTTCAATCTGTTTAACACAGCCACAAAAAACAGCAAAGTAGATGTATTTTGCCTACCAGATTTAGATTTACACCTCATAGTGCCTTTTTAATAAAGATTAATCTTCCATAAAAGGCACTGAAGAATATTTGAAGCAATAAATATTCATAGTAGTTAACTGTACAATAACAATGTGAAGCCATGAAAAGAATTAAAAATTAAGGAGAGACTGTATAATATTTTATATTGCATGTTATTGTTTTGGTGTATGAAATACATGGATCGGTCAAAATATGACCACTCACAGATGAACACATAAATTTTGATTGTCACATCTGGTAACGGTGATTTTTATGTATTTGTTTTTTTTCCTGTGCTGGTGGATGGACAGACAGAAGCCAGTTGATAAAGAGCATGTCTAAAACTAGCAGTCTTGTGGGGTCAGCAGTGGTGAATCCCTGCTCGTGCTGCTCTGCAGCAGGTCAAACAGTTAATGAGGGATGGGGTTTGAAACACATCATTCGACTAACGGGGTTGCTAATAGGGCCTGGCACAAGCTACCAACAGGCACCTTCAGAGTTCGTTTTAAGTCCGTGCCTCGATGGCTTTAAGCTGTCTCGTCAGGACCAACAGCATATTAAGTGAGCGTGTTCGTAACATTTTGTCACATCAGGGTATATAGATCTTATATACATAGTCTCACAAAATATTACAGTTTAGATCAGGTTCCAAAAGTAGACAGTAAAGTTTAAGTTACTAATGTATTAAAGCAAAAGAAAATAACAGAGTGTGCAGTGTTTTTTTTAGCAGCTTCAGTGTTGGTGGAAGGCGGGGCCAATTTTTGCTGTGTAGTTAGAGGGTTGATTTCCCTGTGTGAGAACTTTGCGCCACCTTGAATGAGGAGAAGACTGAATATATTGTACAATTATGTGTTTTGTGTAATATTTGTAATATACTGTGTGTAATTGAGAGTATCTCTTCATGTGGCTTTGTGTGTTGCTCTTGTGTCCAGCTCCCCAGAGGAACTTTGAGATCGCTTTCAAGATGTTTGATCTGAACGGCGATGGAGAGGTGGACCTGGAGGAGTTTGAACAGGTTAGACTGACATCAGCAGGATGTCCTACGTGCAGCAGATGCACGCAAACCTGCGCAAAATCAACATATTAAACGTGACAGAAGCTTGAAAGAGCTAGCCCACATATTTATATTGAGATTGAATAACCAGAGTAGCTTTGATTGTTTTACAGTGACACACACTGACTAGCAATAAAGGTAGGCTCCCACACTGCTGTCCACCAGTGTGACCCTTTCTCAAAGAGACAGATAGATGCTGTGCTCAGCAGTCTGTGCTAACATCAACATATATGCAGCTCAGTTTGTCTTATACAGTCTATATAGTATATATTGTAGTGAATATATATGTAGTTTATAACTACCTCTAAAACTTAGTCTGCACGGACACTCTGGTTGACACTTGGCTCTCTGTATGTGTAGGTCCAGAGCATCATTCGTTCCCAGACCAGCATGGGTATGCGACACCGCGATCGCTCTACCACAGGAAATACCCTGAAGACAGGTGGCTGCAGCTCTGCTCTCACCACATACTTCTTTGGAGGGGATCTGAAGGGCAAACTCACCATTGGCAGTTTCCTGGAGTTTCAAAGGAAACTGCAGCACGACGTGCTCAAACTAGAGGTAACAAAAATGGAAAAATTAATGAGGAGATGATTCAACTTCAATTTTCCATCTACTGGTTTACTGCAGTTTGTGTACAGTTACAGTCCATTTGAATTTAAATGCATATTAAGTCTCTGTACTTATTAGGAGCTGCAGAGGAAAATGAATAGCTTTTTCACAGAGCCAAAAACAATCTCACTGTCTGTATTACATGTAGTTCCAGAGTCCAGTTAAATCAAAAAAAAAATGTTTCTATCAGGGGAGAAGGAAGGAGCTAGTGACAGGTGGTTTTACACATAAATTAAAAACAAAAACGATGAGGAAGTCAGTAGCAACAGCTGATCAGTGCTGCTGAGCATATGGTTGAGCTGGTGTTTACCATGCCTAGTGCCTAAATGATGCTCCAAACCATAATGAGTGGCATTATCAGAGGCTCAGAGAACAGGACTCAGATCTGAGCATCTGCAAGAAAAGGAAGCATTATGTGTCAGGCCTTAATGATACCTCAGTAGTCATTCGGGGAAATCATAACACAACAGATAAGTTTGAATTTATTTTAACATTCAGCAACTTCATGTGAAAGCAGATTAAATAACTGCAGCCAACATGAAATGAGTGGTTCCTGAGTTTTAACTCTTCTTGAATTTAAGAAAAGCGATTGAAGTGGCTAGCATTTCATAGCGTTTTCAACAGTGTCTCGAGACTTTTTGATGTTGCTCTTATGTTCAGTGTGAAGGTGCTCTCCATCTCTGTAGAGAACGGCGCACCAGTGGCGGACAAGCCCGTTCTGGTGCTGCCAGGCAAACCCAACAGCTCTGGCCTATGAGCACAGTGACCAGTTTGTAGCTACATTGTACGACTCTTAACAGTGGTCATGTTGGTCCTCCTTTCACAAAAGAGCAGATACTAGTCCTGCTGCTAAGGTTGATCCCCTTTTACTCCCCTGTCCAGCACGCCGCAGGTCACAGCCTATCTCCTAGTATCTCCTTCACACAATTTAAATTGTGCTAGGGAAACAACAAACCTTACAGACACTGATCATATTGTTCTGCCATACTGGAGGCGCTGGACTACATGTGCAACCTGAAATGGCTGCAGGTAACATCTTTTGCTACAAGTAGTGACAAGGACAATAGCAAATGGAAAAACTAGAAAAAACAAATCAGTCTGGAAGGTTTTTCATGCTGAGGAAACAAATCTTACTATTATATGTAGTCCCAAATTACCCTAACAATTAAATAAAAAAATGTTTCTGTGAGGGGGGAAGGAAGGAGGTAGTGACAGGTGGTTTTACACACAAAGTAAAAGTAAGTACATTGTTGAAATGTGCAAGACTTAAATGATAAAAATCCATGAATTCACATGGTAGGATTTGTAAAGAATTTATTCGTAAATTAGGGTAAATTAGATAAAAATGATGAGGATGGTTTCGCAGGTGGTGTTGTTGTGTTGCTTCTCCAATGCATCTTTTGTTTCTTTCCTTTATATCAAAGCACATGAAATGGTTTCACAATGGTTTATGCTTCCTAAATGAACAGACTGATATCCCTGAGGTTTAACTGACTTTATGCTATACTGTAATCATCAGGTTACATTACAGGGTTACCTAGGAAACTGGAGCCTGGAATGTCTGCTAGGGACCAACCGTCAGCTTCAAAGTGATGCATGACGACTCTTTATAGTTGTAACTCTTATGCTTACAAACTTACAGGTCAAAGAATACGTGCCATTCTCATTATTATAATGTGGGGGGCTTAGTCACATCCTGCCTGCCAGAAATGCAACATTTCTAGAGGTTAACAAGTTAAGAGAGAAATGTCAAACATCCTCAGTCATAAATCAAGTGTGTTGACCTGACACAGCAGAGGCATGCTGTTGTTGCAGTGAAACATTGCAAAAATGCACATGCACATTTAATGTCACCAATGCCAGCTCCAGACGTGACTCAGCTTGAAGCCTGACATCAGTATTTACTGTTTCCCATCTCCCTGTGCGCTCCCTTACTAAAAATGTTGTTTCCTCCACATAGCACTTGATCTGTTTTTCTCTCTTTTTCCCTCCCTAGTTTGAGAGGAACGATCCTGTGGACGGCAGAATCACTGAGAGGCAGTTCGGGGGTATGCTGCTGGCCTACAGCGGCGTCCAGTCTCGTAAACTCAAGCAGATGCAGAAGGGGTTGAAGAAAATGTTTAAGGATGCACAGGTAAATAAATATGTCCTTTCGTCCATCCTTAAATGTAGCTCTGAAAGTCTTAGCCACTCCAGAGGTAAGATACAGCGCTTGATGAGGTGTTCTGAGTGTTTTAATTAATTAGCCTACATGGGAGGATGTATGACAGACGGTGCATGCGTAAGGGAAAAAGAGACTGTGCAGGGGCATTGAGAGTCTTTGTGAGAGTCTGGATGAGAGGTAATACATCACTGGGAGTGGGCAGCACATACAGTGTCTGATCTTATCCACCTTACCAACTCAGTCTCTCCAGCCACCTTCAGCTCTATTTTGGGATGACCTCATATTGGTGCAGTTAGCTCTCTTCATTCCTCTCTGGTCGTCTCAGAGTCTTCACAAAATTGCACTGTGTTTTTTTTTTTTTAGACATTATCCTCAGTTGAGTAGTCTTTGAAAGAAAAAAAAAAGACAAGACTATTGCTTTACAGCCACATTGCTTTAAGCATAAAAATTCTCCACAGACATTCGTGGTAATGTAAAAATCATAATTTCTAAATTTAGTACATGCTTATATCTCCTTCCTACTTCAAGTTCTTTGCATGAACCCCGTTTTTATGCTGGATCGGTTTCACGGTAACGAGCCCCATCAGTCAACTGACTGAAGTTACACCCATGCATATCGTATTCCCAGGGGTGTTGCAGCGAAATATGTCCCATTTCAATTTTTTGGAATGTAACGATGTGGACTGTCACAGAGCTGTTTGTTATACATTAAAGCACCACAGATGTCAGACTTAGCTACGATAAGGCACGTCTGATGGTTAAATACAGCGATTAGGAGAGAAAAGGAACAGAAAGCAGGGAAGTGACTGTTCCTCCAAGTCATGAGGGAAAAGATGATGCTGCCAGAGTTGTCTCCCTAAGGAATTAAACAGCAGCAAGCATCGCTCCCTGTCTGTCTTCACTTCTTTTACTGTTTACCCTGTCTTCCTCAATCCTGCTGTCAGTCTGTCAGTATTGGCAGAACCTGTAATGTAAATGACTCAAGTATAATTTACAGCCCAAGACCAGCTGTTCACTTTTCTTTGCAAATAAGCTCATCAGCAGTGCAGCAGCTGTGTGACTATGTGTCTGTTTATATGTGTATGTGCGCATGTTTGCTTTAGGCTGTCTGTCCCCTTGTTGGTCTGTGGCACAATGTTTAACCATGTGTGTCAAAAGCTTATGCAGACTTCCTCTTGTCATTTGTGTCACACTCCTAAGGTCCTCCAAATGTGGTATTCTACAGTGGCAGCTCTTGTCTTAACAATAGTTGGCTGTTTTTCGCAGGTTTGGAATGCTCTAATAGCCCAAATACAAATGCAGGAAGGATTTGTAACAAATTTGTCCATTTTTCTTTGTCGCACAGGGCATCACATTTGAGGAGGTGGAGAACTTCTTTACTTTCTTGAAGAACGTAAATGACGTGGACACAGCTCTGAGTTTCTATCATATGGCTGGAGCCTCCATAGATAAAGGTACACCCACAGTCACCCTTTACTTTGACATTCTCTCCCTTCCCTAATTATCCCCCTTTAGACTTAACTGTTCTCCGTTTCATCGTCTGCATCTCATGGCTGTTAACACTCTGACAGCCAGATCTGCTTCCCACATCTTTTTTTTCCTGGCTTTTCTCCCAAACCAAGCTCAGCTATTTGTCATCTTTTTATCAGTCCATCCATTTATCCACCACTTCTTCCCCTGGGCCTGAAGAATTGTGCAAATTCAAACACAAAAACTGCTTATGCACACATGACAGATCGCTTTGTGCTCCTACTACAGGCTGCTGATGTCCCCTAAAACATGCCAGCATTATCACCGGGCAAGTGAATGGATGATTAGGGTTGAGTTAACCCACCATTAAATGGTTTCTTTCTCCATAAGTCCGTTACTGCAGGGTGGTGTGCAACAGCAGTTGAATACAAAAAACTGGACGATAACCTCTGGGACAAACAGGCCTGGGGAGGCTCTGCAGCCATCACTGGCTTGGATGAGCAAAGAGAAAAGAGCTTACAGTAGAACAGTAAACACTCAACCGGCTGGTGGGGCCAATCACTCATAAAGAAACCTGCTGCTCCAAAGATACCTGCACAAAGTTGCATGGAGAAAGAAGGAAGAGCATAAACTACGTAAGATGTGAAAGGAATAATGATGTGGCACAAAATCACAGGGATATAGAGTGTGAAAGAGAAAAGATTAGATGGGCTCAGTGCATCAGGGAGCACACTGGCCCTGTGGCACCTCTGTGAACATCTGGTTCTAGGGGCACCCGAACTAGCCTGAACTATAATTTACAGTGGGGCAAAAAAGTATTTAGTCAGCCACCGATTGTGCAAGTCCCCCCACTTAAAATGATGACAGAGGTCAGTAATTTGCACCAGAGGTACACTTCAACTGTGAGACACAGAATGTGAAAAAAAAAAATCCATGAATCCACATGGTAGGATTTGTAAACTTTACTGACTGCGGCTTGTGGCCTTCATCAGGGTCATCCACAAGCCGAAACCCGTTGGTCAGTCAGTAAAGTTGTTCCTCTTTCCTTAAGTGTTGCTGGAGTTCCTGCATTGAGAAATGGGTGTCATGGGCTGGGTCTGTGACCCAGTGTTTGAGTTTTTATATATTTTGGTATTCATTTGTGCCCTAGTTTAGTTCTTCTAGTTAATTTCAAGGTTGCTGTTTAGTCCTTTGTTTCTTAGGTGTTTATGTCATCTCCTCCTGTATTCAGTCTCCCTTGTCTGTGCACCTACCTGGCATGCGTCCTGTCTGTGTGGTTATGTTCAGTTCAGGTCGCGTCTAATCCCCATGTTTCCTGTTTTACTTTGAAAGTCCGTCTAATGTCAGTGTATGTAGTTTCACTTTCCCTGTCCTGTCATTAAGTTCATGTGTATCAGCTGTTCCCCCTCATGTGTTTCCACTTCCCTTGATCATCCCTTGTGTGTATTTAGTCTCTGTGTTTCATTCAGTCTGTGTCGCGTCGTCTGTGTTCCACGCCTTATGTCATGTCAGGTTTCAAGTCTCTGTGCAGGTCATGGCTCATGATGCTTATTCTTATATTTCACAGTTCCCTCATGTTCTGGCACAATCTTGTTCATAGTCTCACTGTTAGTAGTTTCTTCCCAGTTTAGGTTCCTGTTTAGTTGTTGTCCCTGTTCAGTTCTCGTTTAGTTTAGTTCATGTACTCCAGCCTCAAATAAAGGCTCGCTTTTTGTTTAAAGTTAATTTGGTCTGCTTATCTGTGTCCACACCTGGGTCCTCCAAACACTCTCCACACGGTCAGCCACTGCGGACCGTGACAGTGGGGGACACAAACAGACATAAAACTTCGGTAAATATTTTTGAAGAGCGATTGGTGTAACTTTTTACAGTGGAGCCAAACTCCAGTTACTAACTGGCCTTTTTCCCCCCCCCATTATACCATGAACACCTGCAGTGTATTGCACACCGCACAGTAGTAGTTCTTCACTTTGAAAAGTTGGTTAAGTCATCCACATAAAAAGCGTCACAAAGGGGTTTAGTTAGGAAAAAACCCTGAAAGATCTCACATATTAAGACTTTAAAAATCGCCCACAGAGTTCACTGTGGTTATGCTGTTCTCAGTGCTGAAGAATTTATTTTCAGTGCTTACTGGTGAAAACTAATTACAAAGTTTAAATTCATTAAATCACTCGTACTGTCTTTATGTGGCTCAGCACTTTCATTACTACTCAATTCATTTGTCAGAAGCTGACAATGAAAATCTTTTTAATGTGAGAACAAAAGCGGCAGATGAGACCTGTGGCAGCTGTTTCCTTCATTTGTTGCAGTGATTCAGTCCATCAATAGACCTCCATATGTTTTCGGTCTGTGCATCCATTTGTTCTGATTCATTTATGAAGCAGCTGCTGTGTTAAGGGAGCGAAGGGTCTACCCCGAGGTGCTTTTTCAGGCATTTGGTTTCAGTGGCATTTCTGCACAGTAACAAACCGCGTATGTGTATCAGTGTGTTTTTGACTTTGCGTAAAGCGGCTTTGGGAGGATGCTGTGGGTTCACAGCGAGCTGGCAGACACATGTCTGCGAACTCTCTGCTCCCTGCTGCCGTCCATGAACTGAAACCGTTTTTCTCCTCTTCGAGCCCGAAGCAGCTCGTGTCTCAGCTGAGCTTTTTAATGTCTTTGTTACTCTCTTTTCCTTTGCTTTCATCTTGCACTCAAGTCCACTGATTTCACACCCTTTCAGAACAGTTTCTCATGTGTGGGTGTGTGATCTGGATCTGCACAATGGCTTTGTTGAATATATAAAAGAAGGCCAGTAATGAGGTTCTTGATGGCGTGCTGGCTCATCTTTTTCTCTCACCATTTGCAGGGAAATTTTTGTCACGTTTTATTTGTTCACCCCCACTCGTCTTTCATACCTGCCCTCCTCCATTTGTGACTATTGGTAAATCCTGATAAACCTTACATCCTCCATATTTTCCTCAGTCCAGTTCCATTCCCAGCTGGATTTCCTGTAGCGGTCCGCTCTTTCTTCTCCTCTCAGCCCCTTCTTTCTCTCATGTGTCCATCCGATAGCCTCCCCAGCGAACTGAAACCCTTTTTGTTGATCCGAGCAGTCTGATTTGCACACACTGTTCTCCACTTGCACCGCTGATGTGCTGACATGTGTGAGTCTGTGCCTGTGTTGCTCTCACAGTGAATCTTTTTATCTGTGTATCTTTCCTCCCTCTGTCTCTCAGTCACCATGAAGCAGGTGGCACGCACCGTAGCAAAAGTGGAGCTGTCGGATCACGTCTGCGACGTGGTGTTCGCGCTCTTTGATTGTGATGGTAAGTAGCTGACAGTCTCATCATATCTCTCTGCTCTAAATATTTATGAAACACAAAGCCTCCGGAGGTAGAAATCATCAATAAATGGAAGTCAGCTCCTTCGTCTTACTTACTCTTCCTTTATTATTTCATCATCCCGCTCCCCTGTCCATCACCCCTCTCCCCCTTCTCTCCTTCTCTGTCTGTCTTCCTTAGGGAATGGGGAGCTTAGTAATAAGGAGTTCATAGCCATCATGAAGCAGCGGCTCATGCGTGGGCTGGAGAAACCCAAAGACATGGGCTTCACTCGGCTTGTGCGTGCCATGTGGAAGTGTGCCCAGGATACCGCCTGGGATTTTGCCACACCGAAGACATAATGTCACAGGAGACCAGTTGCAATTGAGAGCGGAAGACAGCAGGTGTATAGGGCAACATTACCAATATCATCAAAGGCAGTCTTGCTTGGACGGGTTTTAAGAAGTTTAATAGACAATTAAGACTGCAGCTCATCATCAATCATTAACGCATGTTGCTGTAGTTCCAGCTATCAGTATTGTGGCTGAAGCATCCTGACGCAGTGCACTGTGTCCTGAAAGGCTTCTCTAGTGTGCCTGCCTGAGGCATCATGGGTATTTGTATGTTTGAAAATATACAAAGTTTGTATGTTTGATTTTTTTTTTCATGTTTTATAAAGGAATGCAGAACGGTGCATCTGTTTGTCAAATGCTAAAAACACCACTTTGCTCTTCTGTATTTAATGCATTTTACAGCAAAAGGGCAAGACTAAAAGATGAATCAATCTAGTTTGACCTTCAGCTCTATAAAGGCTGCAGTATATCTGTTCTACGCTGTTAACATAGCCTGGATATTTCTTTGGTGGGACAAAGCAGAAGTCTGTAATGTCGTTAGCACCTCTTCACTCAGTCTGCATCTTTATTCCTATAATGTCCCATAAAAGATTAAGTATGCCGTCTTACCCTGTGTTCTTAGCATTATTATTCCCCATGGAAACACTTTATATACGACAGATGTTAAAAGAAGAACTCTATTAAAGATGCTACAATAATGTAATGGTGATGAAGCTTTTTATTTTTTATAACAGAGTTCTGCTTGACTTGTAAGTTGTTGTCCTGCCACGTTCCCATTTTCCCTCTTTGACAGCACAGTGGGGGGGATTAGCACGACTATTTGTTGGAGCACCTGGGAAGTCATTTGTCAAGTGTAATGATTTTTCAAGCAAAAACGCATGGCTGATTGTAACCCCTGGCTTTGACTTCATTCCAGACGGAGAAAATTATTGTGTGTCTGTGTGTGTCTATGCGCAAGAGTAGTCAGCATTTTTGTCTAATTGAAATGGGCAGTCCTCAGCCTCCGCTGCCCATTAAAAGATTGTCCTGCAGCCCTTCGTGCACACACACTGCTGCAATTTACCCGAAAGAGCTGGCTTGCTCTGCCGCACGTAATACGACTGACAGACGGAAGTGGTGCTCGGGAGTGATTGCTAGGCAGGAGATCAGGTACGTGGACCTCTCATCAGTATTCCTCACCAATGGTCTTTTCAGAGTTTCTGTCTGGCATTTCAATAGCTCAGAAGTGGAAAATTATTTTTCTTTTAACATTGCATCACTTACATTCTGCTTTAATCATAGAATGGCTGTCCAGTGAAAGTCATGCATCTCCATTATGCCAGCTTTTAACATTAACTAGGAGAGTCTCATATCCAGCTTTGTGAAACTTTTTTTTTTTTCATTTAATCAAATTATTTATTGATTTGCTGGGCTTGCAAAGTAGACCCAAAAAGAAATGTACAGATTCTGTCTTCTGTGCTGTTTTGCTCTGCAGCACTTCCTTCCCCATAAGAAGGCCTGTGGTAATTCCTTCCCCATACAGCTGAAGATCATGTTTGCCCAACAGTCCGAAGAAATGTTGAAATTCTAAATAAGACATTTTAAAAGCTGTGGCCGGCCTGCCTTTTCCTAATTATTCAATTTCAAAGCACTTATCCCAAATCAACAAATGATGAGCTTTAAAACCTGCAAAGCAAAACACTATTTCCTTTTACTTTCTAAAACTCCCTGAAGGACCTGACCCACTGCTGCTGCACAGAGCCTCCAAGTGCAACAGCAGCTACATCCGTGCTCAAAAACTGCCCAGTAACCGTTCTACAGTAACCACTTCTCAACAGTTCATCCATGTAAAACCTCGAGCAAGCACGCTCTGTCAGATTTCTCTGCTTGATGAGCGCTGGAGCATTGCTCAGTGGTTAGCAGTTGCCAGGCTTGCAAAGGAGGCTATATTTGGAGTGACTACAGACCTCAATCATAAGTCAACAGCTCTTTTTGTGCATTGAGTTCATGTAGTATTTCCTCCTTGTGCGTACATATGAGCTTTATGCACGGGGTGTGCGCTGTTCATTCAGTCTAAGCCTGAAGCTTTTTGCACTGAAACCAGAGAGTGTATTATTTATTTGGTCATATGCGGTTTCCTATCTGCCAGATATTATTATGAGTTAATGAAAAAATATACTCTGCAATAAGAATAAGAGATCAGCTAGTCGGCTGCAAATTATTTAGTCTCGCAATCACTTTTCCCACTTGAGCATAAGGAGTTAAGAGGATAAAATGTAAAAATAATTTAAACAGTCACTGACTACAGTAATATCTGCCAATCCAATCCACTGCGATGAATCCACTTTTCACCAAAGGCTGTTTGTAGAGTTTTACGGGGAAAGATTAAATATTCAGTCATTTTCTGATACAAACCAGACATTTTTTACAGCCACTGCTGTCAAGAACAAGTTTTTACTGCCACGGCCACCCAGCTGTTCATGTAAAGTTCACTGTAAAATACAGATAAATGTATAGTTTAATGTCCCAGAAGGAAACCTGCTTGTGTGCAGGTGAGGTCATGTCTGAGTTTCTTTAACAGGAAAATGTGATTACATTGTAACAATATATTGATAAACATTTCAGTTGAGAATTTTTCATGCATACCAACCCAGATGAAGTACAGTAATACTGAACTTATTTATGCTACCCTATCAGGGAAAATTTAGGTGGTGTAGTGGAGCAGTGGTTAGCCTCACAGCAAGGAATTTTCTGGTTGAAACCTGGTAGTTTCAAGCTTCTCTGTGTGGAGTTTGTGCCTGTTCTGGTTTCCTCCCAAAGCACTGTGACACTGGTGACCTGTCCTGGGTGTAGCGCACCTTTTCACTTTATGACAGCTGGGATAGGCTTGTTCCCACCCTTGCCTACAATCTAGATAAGTGCTTAAAAAAGAAAGAAAAGAAAAATAAACACAAAAAAAACCCCAACATCTCCACTGGTTGTTTTTTTTAATTGAGAAAAAAAAATCCCTGATCATCTGGTATAAAACCTGAAATCTAAGCATGGACAGTACATGGTGTGTAGAACTGAGTCTTTATCTCTGTTTTCAGAGTGGTGCTAAATTGCTGGAATATCCCTTTAGCCGCACATGCTGATCTAACAGGCCTCAGTTCATTTGAGATGACAGACTTATGCATCTGTGTTCAACAGATGAAAAAAACAAACAGGAAATGAGCTGTCTGGACACAAACTGCCCCGAGGAATCGGGTGACAGTTTACATACGTTGACTAAACGTCATGCTGAGGGCAGTGCTACTCCACTGCCACCTAGTGGCAATTGCAAAGTAGATTTCTAAAGAATAAGTTGCAAAAAATAAAGCCTGATGTAGCAAATATGATACAAATGTAAACACGCAAATTAATTTATTTCATTAAGGTTTAATAAGCACTCAATTTAAAAAGAAAATATTTTTTTCTGGCTGTTATTCCACAGTTCAGGGTTTAAAGGGTTAACAAAGTTTAAAAATATGTACTTTCTAGACCGTTAATTTGCCAACAACAATATCAGCACACACGCAACAACTTGGTATGTGCAGATACTAAAAATTGGAGTTCCTCTCCAATTGTGCACATGTAAAACTGTCAGCTGAGCAAACAGTGAGTGAACTGTCCATGAAATCATCACCAGTATATTGTTTAGTCTTTATTTACAGATTTGAGGTGTAAAAGAAAAAAAAAAATGACAGCGGTACACAGGATCTCATATGATAATCAAATAACTGAAACGAGCATGGCTATGTTCGAATTACATACTTAATACCACTGAACAGTACAGGGAGGGACTGAAAGGACTTCCTAACAAAGGGAACGGATCCAAAGAAAAAAAATCCTTGAACAGAGAAAAGACCTTGAGAGGCCCTTAAAGATTGAAGTGGAATAAAACATAATAAATACAGTATAAAATTTCTACTTGATAGGTTTTCTTGTGATGTTAAGAAAAAGCCCCAAACCTCTTCACATTTAAATGTGGACAAAGAAGAAAAAAAAAAGAAAAAGGGACAAACATCAAGAATCCATGTAGTCTATTAAACAAAAAACAAATTTGAAAATGAAGAACATGTATAGATGGATTAATTTCGATCATACCTAGACAAGAAGATTGCTTAATGTTACAAACATTCACCATTTAAGAAGAAAGGAGGTTGTGAAAACAAGCAGAAAGAGCCAAACATTTTCTCCATTAGCCAGTGGCTGCAGCCACCTAGTGGCTATAAGTGATGTCACAGTTGGGAGCACATTTCCCTGCTGCCACAGCTCTGCTAAATGTAAACTCCATTACAGACTAAAGCAAAGTCGAATCAAAGGGCCAGTTCAGTGTGATGGACCATCTTCTGTTAGTGTGCTGCTGCTACTGCTGGAGAGACTGTTTACAGGAGGGTGGTTTGAGCAGACAACTTGTATTCCTGATCTGTCCGGTACAGTACAGTTGAAATGGGAGGTTGTGGACTTTCTCAGTCGCTGTCAAACTTAATGGAGTTGACTGAAGTGGAGATGGCTCCCCCACGGTAGCTTCCTCTTTTCTTCTTTGTCTTTTCGTGGCGGAATGATTTACCTTTTGTGAACTTGAGCACATCGTTAGCTTTCTGGCCCCAGTCTCCATTGGCTCCCATCTGAAATAGAACATTATAAAGAGAGAAAGAAAAAAAAGTTTGTTTATCTGCCACCTCAACAACTATAATGCTCAGTAATCCTGTAAAAATGATTATTATGATTAAATAATTCACCTTTGCATCAAACGAATTGTCTGCAAGGCGCGGGTCCACATTTACTTCGTCGTCTTTTATTCTACGGAAGGGTACGTTGGTAGACTGGAAAACAAAATGTTTCAGTCAGCTTATTTCAGTTCACTTTAATTCAATTCTAGCTTTGTGCAGGTCTTACCTTCTTATTGGCTTTAGGGAAAGTCTGTGGTGTGGTTGTGGCCTTCTTATTTTTTGGTGTTTTTAAATCCGTTTCTTCCTCTTCGCTTTCTGATGATTCTTCATCCTTTTTTCTTTTTCCATTAGTACCTGTATCAGATGAAAAGGGGCTCATACTTAGTAAACACTAGGGCTGGGCCATATTATACCGTTCACGGTAATACCGGTATAATGTTAGGCAATGATAGGAAAATGAAATATCGCGATAGAATGGGAGTAAAACGCGCATGCGCAGTGCCTTTGTTTTCATACGCACATGGCCGATTGTTGAGTGAAACAGATGAACCAGAATTGGTTTGTAAAAATGGTGCAACTTCCGTGATGTGGAACTGGATTGGTGTTTGTCCGTCAGATACACAACAAAGCACATTTTTTTGCAGAACATGCAAGCGGCCGTTGTTATTGTCGTATTTGTCGGACTAAGATGCTCTTAAATCTGGGAGTAATCTGGGTCCTAAACTCCGTATGCTTCAGGTCAAACAACACTGCAGCATCACTTAGAGTTAAAAACTGTCTAAATTCTTTCATCTTTAATAAAACGATCAGCATTGCTGCTTTACCAGGTGTAACTATAAAGTTTAACTTCCAGGCATCCATGAAAACAAAAGTTATTACATTTAACAGAGTTAGAAGTTAGCAGGAAGCTAGCGGAAGTTAGCTCGCTAGTCTCGCTAGTTACCTAAGCATGATATAGCATGTTCTGACTGAGAGATTTCTGAAAAAAAAAAATCAAACGTACAGCTCTGCTATCACTTCCAACATAAATGAAGACAGGAAACTAAACAGCAGTGACGTTTGTAGGGTTACTGAAGTTGGGCTAGCTGGTATATAATGATGTGCTAGGTGATCGCTAGCGACACAGCTATGTTAGCATAACATAAACAGTGAAGCTGGAGGACGAACACTAACTTTTTTCCACTTATAAAAGTTAAGGGGAAGGTTCCTCATGGTTAGAGACAAATGCAATCGCATGGCAGGATACTGTAAACGGACCAAACTTCAGTCAGGAGAACAACTGAGATAATCCATCCACAATACGAGGTTAGTCATTAATATACTGCAACAACATGGGAATAGAGCAGCTGCCAGAGAATTCAACATTAATGAATCAATGGTACAGAAGTGGAGGAAGCAAGAAGAATGAGTTTAATAAAGTTTGATTTATCTGACTGCTTTGTTTCGCTTAATGTGCCTTATAATCCCGTGCACCTTATGGTCCGAAACATATGTACTGCACACTGCAGTTTAATGTTGCAAAGCACCTCTTTTTAACTTCAGTGGATATTATACATGGTTATGCTCAGGATATGTCAGCCCATTTGTACTGGAAATGCCTTTTGGTTAAACTTTCAGCAAGGAATTTGCATTTGCACTGTTGCATTTTTATAAAGCTTTAATGTACATAAAAACCAGCTTCTTGTTTAAGTGAAAATAAATGGAAGGTTGTCTTTTTGCGCTAGTAATGTTGTGGAGTTGTATTTTGTCTCGCATCCATTATATCGTCAGTTATATCGTTATCGCAAATTTTCAAATATATATCGTGATAAATATTTTTGGCCATATCGCCCTGCTCTAGTAAACACTACACTTCTATAAATATTAAACACTTAAGGACCGACAGTTAAGTGATAGTTTGTTTTTTTCCCCATTTAATGACCAGATGTTTGAGACTTACTGTTTTTTGGGGTGTTGGGTGCAGTGGCTGCTTTACGTGGCACTTTAGCCTCATCTGATGAACTCTCCTCAGAGCTGCTGTCGCTGGATGATGACTCTGCTGGCTTTGCTGCAACCTTCGCTGATGCTGCTGCCGTCTTGGGAGTTGCTGCCTTGCCGTTGGCAACTGTAGACTTAGTCACGGGGGTCTCCGTCTCTGAATCAGAGCTATCTGAGGAATCAGAGCTGCTCTCCTCTGCTTTTTTTGCCTTTTTGACTGCAGGCGCTGCCTTTGTTGTTCTCTCAGCTGCAGGGGCGGGCTTCTTGGAAGCAACTGGAGCTTGTTTCTTAGCTGCCTCATCCTCTGAGTCTGAGCTGTCAGAGCTGCTTTCTTCTGCAGCAGCAGTCTTAGCTGCAGGAGTAGCAGGCTTTGAAGCGGGCGTAGCAGGCTTAGCTGCTGCTGGCTTGGTCTTAGCTGGCTCTTCATCATCCTCAGAAGAGGACTCTGAGCTACTCTCTTTCGGGGCAGGCTTTCCTGCAGGTTTAGCGGCCTTTCCTGCAGATTTAGCATGCTTTGAGGCTGAAGTAGCAGCTTTAGCTGCTGCAGGTTTAGCCTTGGCTGGCTGCTCTTCATCTTCAGAGGAGGAGTCGGAGCTGCTCTCTGCTGCAGGAGTAGCCTTTGCTACCGGAGTAGCCTTCTTTGAAGCTGGTGTTGCAGGCTTAGCTGCTGTTGGCTTGGCCTTGGCCGGTTCTTCATCTTCTGATGAGGAGTCGGAGTCAGAGCTGCTTTCTGCTGCAGCAGCAGGCTTAGCTGCAGGGGTGGAACTCTTTGAAGCTGGCTTAGCTGCTGCTGGTTTAGTCTTAGCAGGCTCTTCTTCATCTTCAGACGAAGAGTCAGACTCTGAACTGCTCTCTGCTGCTGCAGGGGGCTTTGCTGCAGGGGGCTTTGCTGCAGGGGGCTTTGCTGCAGGGGGCTTTGCTGCAGGGGGCTTTGCTGCAGGGGGCTTTGCTGCAGGCTTTGAAGTTGGTGTAGCCGTTTTAGCAGGCTTGGCTTTCACTGGCTCTTCCTCATCCTCAGAGGAGTCCTCCGAGTCAGAGCTGGTCTCTGCTGCCTTGGCTTGGGGTTTAGAAGCTCCAGAAGCTGCGGATGGGGTTGCGGTTTTTGTGGGAGGCTTTGCTGGGGCCTCATCTTCAGAGCTGCTATCTGAATCTGGAAAGCAAGATCAATGTTGTCATGAAGGTTTGCAAACAATATAGGGTTAATAACAGAAATTATATTAGGTCATATTTAACAACTTCTGAAGCTCAAATACCCAAAATGTGCATCTCCTACCTGAGCTCGAGGACTCGTCTTTCTGAGCTGGCGTAGTCTTGGCAGGTGCAGCTTTGGTTGGGGGTTTCTTTGCTGCCTCCTCCTCCTCTGAACTGGAGTCCTCCTCGGAGGATTCATCTTTAGCGGACTTAGCTGGAGCCGCTTTAGCAGGAGTCACCTTTGTTGCAGGTTTCTTCACCTCTTTAGCTGGAGAAGTTTTGACTGGGGCTCCTTTACCTGCAGGCTTCTTGGCCGTCTCCTCTTCTGAGCTGGAATCTAGAAAGATGAGAGACATTTACAAACATTCACTGTCACAAACTGATCATCATTTTAAGATGGGAAATGGGCGAGTGACGTTTGTGATCCATACCAGAGCTCTCTGAGCTGGACTCCTGCTTCTTTGCAGCAGGTTTGGACGCTCCAGGTTTGGCTGCAGGTGACTTTACGGGGGCTGGTTTTGCTGTGCAAGTTAAAATGCTGTTAGACATTTAACAATAAACACCAAGAAGTCAAGGTGGGGAAAAAATAAAAAGGAACCCACTTACCTGCCACCTTTTTGTCGTCATCACTGCTGTCATCACTGCTGTCTGAAGAGTCGCTGTCCTTGGCCTTGCTTGCTACTGGTGCAGCAGGAGCTTTGTGGATTGAAGCAGGAGGTGGTACAGCACTGTATGCTCCTAGAAAGACAAATGTAGATCGTCAGCATCAAAAACAAATACAAACATATTTTAATAAATAATTTCCCTTAGGGATCAATAAAGTAATCTGATTCTGATAATCACAGATCATTCCAGAGATGACCAAGTGAACAGCTCTGGGTATAATTCAGTCAGAGCAGACTGGTGTTATGATCATGATATGGACAAAACTGGACTGTTGTAATTAATGTGAACTCAATCTCACTTATTTTTTCATATAGCTGTCGAACTTACGCACATCAGTAATAGGCTAAAAAGACTTGATTGGGATTCACTTCTCAGGTTTGCCGCTGATGCAAGTGTGCCTCACATCTTTCCAAACCAGACTTTTGTTACTGTGTAGCTTGTATAGTTGTAAGAAAGCATGAAAACACACCTGCTTTGGGTTTTTTGCTGGGAGGAGCCTCATCCTCTGATGAAGAGTCTTCACTACTTGACTCAGCACCAGCTTTATTTACTGGGGCTGGTTTGACTGGAGCTGGTTTGACTGGAGCCTGACAGAACACATGGAAATATGCTGTTAATATCTGCTGCATGCATTTATCCGCTACACACCACGCTTGGCTGAGTGTGAGACAATCAACAACACATAACAACATAAAGAAGGCCTTGTGTACCTTGGCTGGCTTCTCATCTTCAGAATCTGAGGAGCTGTCTTCGCTGCTGCTGCTCTCCTTCTTCTTTTGAGCTGCACCTTTGGCAGCAACAGCTGCTTTGGGTGTTGTGACTGCACCAGCCTTGGGTTCTGTTATTCAGAAACGCATACAGTAAATTAAATAACCCAAGATTTTTCCCCAATCTTAACTTAAACAAATTACTCAATATAGACTTACTTTGTGCAGGAGCTTTGGCGGTTTGTTCTTCCTCAGAGTCAGACTCTTCACTGCTGGAGCTGCTATCCTTTTTCCTTGTGCTACCTGCAGCAGCAGGAGGTTGTTTCACAGGTGCCTACAAACAGACACTACATTTTAATAAAAGGATAACGGGCAAGGTAATGTAGCAATAACAGGCTATCATGAGAATGTCTGATTCTGATGCTTCCTTCTACCTTTGCAGCAGGCTTTGCAGGAGCTTTGTCCTCCTCAGAGTCACTAGAGTCTTCACTGCTGCTGGATGCAGCTTTAGTAGCTGCTGCTTTAGCAGGCCCCTTTTTGGCTGCTAAAATGTAGAATGAGGAAAAATGTAATATCACAGCGTTTCAGAATGCACATTACTAGCAGAATTCAGCCAACCCTTTCAGTTATCCATATCAAATATGAAGGTTATACCTGCAGGAGCTACTTTAGTTTGTTTTGCGCCAGCCTCTTCATCCTCACTGCTTGACTCTTCACTGCTGGAGCTCTCAGTGCTGGGTTTTGCCTTCTTGGCTGACGGTCCCGTCCAGTTCGGAGGCACCTTTCGTTTTTTGGCTTCGGGAGATCTATTTAAAATAGAGTTTCAATGATACAGCCCATAATTATATTAATACATAGTATGCAACACCACCCTATATTAATGTTAAAAAGAAAACTTCAACGGGATAAAAGGCACTCCCTTTCCCAGAGTAGAAAGATACGCAAATAATAATGCTTTAGTCGTTAGCCTGCATACCAAAGTGTCCTTGGGCAAAAAACTGAACACTGAGTTAGTGAGAGACTGGTTGAATCCCTCCACTCTGCATGGTAAACTATTCTTTGGCATGTTGAATAAAATGCTTTGAACATTCAAGTAGAGTAGTACAGTGCTATATAAGAACCATTTCATTTCCCATTTGTCTAAACAAAAAGCGCTTCAAATTTGTAAAACAACAAAAGGGTTGTGTTTATATTGTATTAGATTTTTCTCTGATAATCCTCAACTCAACAGACCCTTGGACACTATGAGAGCAGCAGTGGAATTTCTATTGTACCAATACATTTTTAAAGGAACATACTTATCGACACAGAAAGTCAGCTTGGTCATGCGTTTCATATTTTTATTTGAAAAACCCCTCTCGGATAAAAATAAATAAATATTAATAAGCAACTCACTTCACCCAGAAGTTGTAGATATTGACGAGTCTCTCCTCATTCTGATCTTGCGGAGCCTGTAGAGAAACACGTGAAGTAGTAAGTTAATAATTCCCTTGCAGCACTTTGAATTTGTGACTAAAACTCCACAAATCATAATTTAAAAAGTATAAACACGCTGCAGTATTTACACTTTAACGCACTGAGACCGTTAATTAGCCCAAAGGCAGGTTGCAGCTGATACACGTGCTAACTTCACCGGCTCGGTAACCTGCACGTATTTACCCCTCGTGCCGCCTGGACCTAACGTCTAATACCCGACGACAGGACGTGTCCGTCAAACACCGCCACACAGCGTAGGCTACTCACCACTTTAGTCTTTTTCAAGAACTCCTGAGCCGCTTTGGTGAACTTGTTCTCCACCAGAAACGAGTACACGCATTTGAAAAGATCACTCGGTACCGACTTCTCCGCCGCCATCTTCAACACGTTCTTCTGGAAAAGGAAGTGACGGAATCAGGCACTTGTGAGCAGACGCTTGGTGTCGACGTATCCACGCTTCAGTAAAAAAATAAATACCAGTTTCTAGAGATTTCCAAATGTCAGAAAACTAAATAAAACACAATTCCACTGACTAATTGTGATTTTAAAAATCCTTTAGAAAACTTTACAAATATTTCGGGTTGCTCTCACGTGACTAATTTCCTAAAACAATACGAGTAAAATATGTGGGTATGCTAAATAAGACGCAATTTTTTTATTATTGAAATACACTTATTTATAGATTTAACGCCATATTTAAAAAAAATAAATGACTCCTATTTTTTATATTTAGTAGGCTTTGTTGCCCACGAAGGCGCACGCTTTATGCGTCATCACTAAAGACCTTTCGTGTCTGCCCCTCGTGTCATAACATGTCGCCTTTCAACTGAGCAGTGTGGCAATGACAGCCCAGTTCTAGCTGAATTAAACGTGTGAGTCGGGTATTACTTAGCTGCAGCCATGCCTCGGTACGAGCTGGCCCTGATCCTGAAACAGATGCAGCGGCCGGAGACGGCGGCAGCTCTGCGAAGGACGGTGGAGACGTTAATGGAGCGGGGCGCCTTGGTGAGAGACCTGGAGAACTTGGGAGAAAGACAGCTGCCCTACAGAATGACCAAACACAACCAGAGGCACAGCCGAGGGACTTACTTTCTGGTGGATTTCTACGCAGCTCCCAGCATGCTCGCTGGCGTACTGGATCACCTGCACCGTGATGTGGACGTTGTGAGGCCCACTGTGCTGAAGAAAGACGCCCAGGTCCCCAACAGTAACTGCTGCGGACCCCAGAAGTGATTAAATGTAAGGCTTAATGAATGGCGGAGGTGTTTAAAATCACTGGTGCTCAGAGTGAAACAAAGTGCTGTTTTATCACCACAGCTGTCTGTTACATGCGTGTATTTTTGGGCTGTAGTAAAATATGAAATACTCTGCTTTATCAGCCACTTAACTCCATTAGAGAAATGGCAATCAGAAGCACAGTTGAGTAGTTACAGTAGTGAAAACTTATCAGCGGTTTATTGAAGAAAATCGCTTACACACACACACACAGTGGATGAGAACAAACCTCATGCATGTAATAAAGTGTTTTAGCACTGATGATTAATTCGACCTTTAAATAGCCCAGACAGAAAGGAATACCGCTGTTTATTTGCGGGGGAAAGTCACTTCTGTGATCCTGGATATCAGGGAACAAGCAACCGAATACAACCTCTAGTAACTGATTTAAAGCATTTTAAACACATAAGAAAAGAAAAAAAAACAGACAATGTGTCTGTGAAGGTTCTCAGTCATCCGTCTGGACTTCTTTAAGTTTTCTTGAAGATGTTTCGCCCTTCATCTGAGAAGCTTCTTCAGTTCTAAGTGCAATTGGTGGAGAGTCTTGGATTTTAAGCCCTATGGGAGTGTCCCCAAGAGTGTCATGGGCCCCCTAATGATCCTCTACCTAATCGCATGAGCCAAGGTGTGAAAACGGGTGTAGGTAACAATCAGCCAAGGCTTCACCCTATCATGTGATTTTCTGAGGTCAAAAGGCCCAGGATGTGAGTGGGCTTTAAGGCGTCTGGAAAGGGATCTCAAAACTGGATGGCAGACAGTTGGTGTTGTAAGCCATGGGCTCTGTTCAAAGAGGGTCATTCACAGTGGACATTAGGGGATCCATGTCACTCTTAGGGGGACACTCCCATAGGACTTAAATATGGGACTTTCCACCATTTGACATTAGAAGTGAAAAAGCTTCTTGAATGAGAGGTGAAACGTTTTCAAGCAACTTTAAGAAGTCCAGACGCTGTTCTATCCAAGCTCCTTAGACTACGATAACCTGGATGACTGAGAACCTTCACAGACATACCAACCTCAAAACTGGATTATAGATGGCAGACAGTTAGTTTTGTAAGCCCTGCTCATGTTCACAGTGGACATAGATGGCTTCTTTCACTCCTCTTTCAAACCATCTGTCTTCTCTGTCCAAAGCATTCCTCGCTGCACTGTACAGCATACACCACGTTGTTAAGTTTCTGTTTGGTAGTTTTGTCTTTGAGATGAACCAGTTTTTGTCTGAGTGCGTGGCTGGGTCTGAAGTGCACTGGGATCTCGTGCTTGGAGAAGACTCCTGAGTTTCTCTGATAAACCTGCTACATAAGGGATGACAGTATTGTTCCGTTTGTCCCTCTGATTCTCCCTAGTTGGTGTCTGACCTTCTTTTCTGTGCATCATTGCTGCACAGGGACAATAATTAGAAAAAACAAACTCCCCCATGTGGTTACAACAGATGGTTAAGTCCATTTGGTTGTAAACTCTGTACCTAAACCAGCTCCACCCTCAGCCTCCTCGCTTGCTCATACCAGAAAGGAATATGATATAGTGTGATAATGTATTAAAACAAATTAACCAAATTCATTAAACCAGTTGTTTGCTTTATAGCTTTAGTGACTGCAAACTAACTTATTGTGAAAATGAGGCAGGAGTGTAAAAATGTGAATGAATATTACAAAAGTATTTCAGTTGTGTGTTTGTGGACATGACCATCACACATGAAGTAGCCAAACACAAAGATAATCCTCTAAATAAATGATCAGTTCATTAGTCACCATCCCTGTAATATGTGAGTGTATTACTTTACTACAAGTTCATACATTTGGTTCATATACGATTAGTTTGCACAAACACAGTGTCTGTATTTACTTTGTTTGCTTGCTGATTTGTAAGGGAGGATCATTTTGCATGTCTGCAACAACAGCAGATCCACATGAGATCCTCCAGACAAACATAGATGTGTATTAAGCTCTAATAAGAGGTCCTACCCTGAGTTTGTACTGTCCTCCTCATCTACCCCCTACCTACAGATACAGCCCTGTCATCTCTCGCCTTGCCTGCAGGTGTCATTGTTGAAGCAATTTAATCAGGATTTAAATGATTAATGGTTTTGTGGAAAGAATCAAAGTAAAAATATTGAGCTCCCTCGTGCCTCTTGAAAACAGATAAGCACCCCCCCTTCTCCTCCCTCCATCTGTTTGTCTGAAATGGATTTAACTAGACGTGTACGCATACACAATGATATTATAATAGCTTCCCTACATATATTCCAACAGAAATATGTGTGATAGGACAATAATGCCTGATAATTACAGTTGACTGATAAATCTTTCAGCCTCTACTAATAAGTGTCTGTATTCTTTCGCCATGAAGTGATTAATTAAACTATTAGTTAAAATGCTATAATCAACAGGAACTGGGAGTAGGGGATTTTACTGTTAAGTCTGAACTGACCTTTTAATACAGTCGTTGTGGTGCTCTAATATAACCACAATACTATGCATCAGTATTTGTGTTGATCGACAGTGGTGGTTGCTAGGGCTGTGCGATATGACCAGAATCTCATATCCCGATATAAATCACAAAAATGTAACATTTTCTGTAAATTCTGTGAATCTCGGGCAGCTCGACTTGCGAAGTGTTTCCAGCTGCGCGTCCTTTACCCGGAGTCGAGTGTTTTAACCGATGCATGAAACGATACATTTTTAGAGAGAAGTTGTAACAGCCGCTGTTTTCTTAGTATTTATTACACGGCGTGCTGCGGGGAAAAGCCTGTTCTAACGTTTGAGTCTAAGGTTTATTTTTTTAGCACCTGGCGGCTCTTTTTTAATTCTCATCCGTAAATAATCTGCTCTTTCACGTGATTCGGTTTATTTTGAAAAGTCTCAACAGGATCTTGAGCTTTATTGTGAAAGGTTTATGTGGAACATAAACAAGCGGACACGCGAAGGTGTTACTGTCGCTGTTGTAGCGACAACGCATAAAAACAGGCGCTTGTCCGTCAGTAGTGTGGTTATATTAAATATAAGAGAAAGAGAGAACTTTAAGAAATTAATATAGCCACTACAGTGACCATCAGAACGATGAAAAAATATTGCCGCAAACAGTTTATTTTGCGACACCACGAAACAAACAATGGCATAAAATGAAGATGTTTTTATATCGTCATCGATATATATCGTTATATCGAACAGCCCTAGTGGTTGCTTATCAGAGGCCGGTGTTGTTTTATTTCAGAGTGCTTTTGTTTAAACTGTAGAGAACAAAAGACACTATTGTTTGGGTTCTCTGATACATTTAGGAAGAAATAAGTACACTTCCTGTGCTGATTAGCTCTTAGTTGTCATTAAAGGTGAGCACTTCCCTTCAGTTAACAAAGGTGAAAAATTGCTCCTGTCACAACACGTTAATATTGACTAGGGCTGTAACTTGGATAATTCCATTAAAAAACTTCCCCAGGAGAAATTATTTTCTCCGATGTTTCATTTAATCCATGTAAGAAGAGCTGTTTCTCCCACATTTGTGATTTAAAAACAGACCTGCATTAGAAACATATCTAGGATCACATGTGTGAATAAAAAGAATGACAATTAAAAATATCTTTTTAAATAAGACAGAAAAGCCACGGGGCGGAGCTGTTGCAGAGATGGTGCAATCAGGTGGCGTGAACGAAAACATGTTTCGAACGTTCAAAATAGCAGTGCTTGTTCGTGTAATCACCACAAAGGCCTTTACTGGGAAAAACTGTCCTTCATCAAAACCATTGATCAACAAGTGCAAACAGGAAGAAAAGTGAACTTTCTAGCTGCTCCCACCCACCGCAGTTTGCTTAACACAGCAACACATCTACAATAAAGCTATAGAAATTACAATAAAATTATATTTATGCAACTGAACTTTTAACTTAGTCTCATACAATGTTTAAATAAGACAGCCTAATGGAGGTTGACTACAGCCATCCTTTCTGTCACACTGATGCCAACAGTAAGCAGGGGTGAGTCTAAAGGGGGGGCATGGGGTGTACTACACCCTATTTATTTCAAGGCTTATTTCAAGTCTACTAATTACATTCTATTAATGTTTTAAAATATAAAGCAGTCTTATTGGGCCAATAAAACTTGAACCACTTACCCAGTGCTGTTCGACTGGCCCCTGAATTATTCTAACATTAGTAATTAACATTAATTATTTACGTCCACGCTATCAGAACTTCTGTGTTATGCCGCAGGAAACGTCGCATCAAATAACAGGCCAAACCTCAGTTCAGAGAATCCCGATTAGCTCGCTTTTCTTCTTTGCAGCCATCACATGCTTTTTTACAGACACACACTCACTGCTACACTACCACACTTAAACACACACACCAAATCTACCTCATCCAGGAGACGCAATACTGTCAGAACACCTTCCAAGAAGATACATAAGTGGATAAGTGAAAGAAAATGGTTGGATAGATGGACGAATTACTGCATTTGTTAATATTGTTTTGATTTTAACATTGTTAAAAGAAGTTTAAAATCTGACTTTTATGTGGCACGCAAATACACTTAAAAAGGTTTGGTTCTTTTGACAAATATTGCATGCTGCTCAACTGTCAAAAGACTTGCCTTTTTTCTCTTCTGAATATTTCTGATAGCTCAAGACTAAAGTATTTCTTAGTATTTCTCAATGAAATACTACTGATGTTAAACGAACTGACTTGTTGATTGAGAAACGGACAGTAAAACAGAAATCTCATGGAAAAAAACCTTCACCGCAGGCTCACATGAGTGAACTTTAACTGCACTAACAGAAGCCACAGAAATAGAAATCTATACAAGATCACATGAAACTTAAAGAATTCCATGAGCAGCTTTTATTGATCAGTGACAATATTTCTGAACACGTCTACACGCAGTAGACAAACACAAAGTCAGTCATCGATTAGTATGCTCAGTATTCTCTCACTGCACATTTTTAAGTGTGTTATCTCAGGTTCATGCTGACTCTGCTGTAACGTTTAGCCCTACATAATGTTTGTTCTGTCTTTCGCAGGTTCCTACAGATCACATGCAGAAGATGACTCATGTGACACTTCCTTCTTTCACCTATTTCATTAGCTGCATGCATCGACTTGGATGTAATATCATATGTGATAATAAAATACTTTTTTCTATCCATTTTGCACTTTTCCTTTTTTGTCAAGCATTTGAGACACTGCTTCACATGATGGTTAGTCATGTGATGGAAGTTTCAGTTCTTTTATTGTAGGTGTGGTTTATGCAGGGTTTTTTTAAGCCATTAAAACTTGATCAACTGTCTCTGGGGAAAAAGCCGCTTGTTGTTGCTTCAGTTTTCTCTCTGGACTTTCTTGGTTCTTTGAGCAGTATTTGTTGCCTAAATCTCAATTAAAGTATAAGTACACAATCATGGTATTTATTTTGTGTAAGACAACATTGAATTAACCAGGTCATATAAGAGACACACAGTGATATTTGAGAAGTGAAATGAAGTTTATTGGACTTACAGAGAGTGTGCAATAATTGTTTAAACAAAATCAGGCAGGTACATAAATTTGGGAACCACAAAAAAAAAGAAATGAAATCAATATTTAGTAGATTCGCCTTTTGCAGAAATTACAACCTCTAAACGCTTCCTGTAGGTTCCAATGAGAGTCTGGGTTGTGGTAGAAGGTATTTTGAACCATTCCTCTTTACAAAACATTGCTAGTTAATTCAGGTCCGATGGCTTTCGAACATGGACAGCTCTTTTTAACTCACACCACAGATTTTCAATAATATTCAGGTCTGGGGACTGAAATGGCCATTCTAGAACATTGTACTTGTTCCTCTGCATGAATGCCTTAGTAGATTTTGAGAAGTGTTTCGGGTCGTTGTCTTGTTGAAAGATCCAGCCCCGGCGCAGCTTCAGCTTTGTCACTGATTCCTGGACATTGGTCTCCAGAATCTGCTGATACTGAGTGGAATCCATGCGTCTCTCAACTTTGACAAGATTCCCAGTTTCTGCACTGGCCACACAGCCCCACAGCATGATGGAACCACCACCGTATTTTACTGTAGGTAGCAGGTGCTTTACTTTGAATGCTGAGTTCTTTTTCCTCCATGCATAACGCCCCTTGTTATGCCCAAATAACTCAATTTTACTTTCATCAGTCCACAGCACCTTATTCCAGAATGAAGCTGGCTTGTTCAAATTTGCTTTAGCATACCTCAAGCGGCTCTGTTTGTGCTGTGGGCAGAGAAAAGGCTTCCTCTGCATCACACTAGCATACAGAATCTTCTTGTGTAAAGTACGCCGAATGGTTAAATGATGCACAGTGACTCCATCTGCTGCAAGATGCTGTTGTAGGTCTTTGGTGCTGGTCTGTGGGTTGACTGACTGTTCTCACCATTCGTTGCTTCTGTCTATCCGAGATTTTTCTTGGTCTGCCACTTCGAGCCTTAACTTGAACTGAGCCTGTGGTCTTCCATTTTCTCAATATGTTCCAAACTGTTGAAACAGACAGCTTAAATCTCTGAGACAGCTTTCTGTATCCTTACCCTGAACCATGATGGTGAACAAGCTTTGTCTTCAGGTCATTTGAGAGTTGTTTTGAGACCCCCATGTTGTTACTCTTCAGAGAAAATTAAAAGAGGAGGGAAACTTAAAATTGACCCCCTTAAATACTCGTTCTCATTATTGGATTCACCTGTGTATTTAGGTCAGGGGTCACTGAGCTTACCAAGCCAATTTGAGTTCCAATGATTAGTTCTAAAGGTTTTGGAATCAATAAAATGACAACAGTGCCCAAATTTATGCACCTGCCTGATTTTGTTTAAACAATTATTGCACACTTTCTATAAATCCAATAAACGTCATTTCACTAATAAGATATCACTGTGTGTGTCTCCTATATGATATATTTAACTGACATTTTTATTGTAACAACCAACGATTTATACAGCAAAATAATGACTATTAACAAGGTTGCCCAAACTTTTGCATCAAACTGTATAATATAAATATAATAAACAAAAAAGTAATAGCACATAATTATAGACTGTAAGATGCTAGCAGGCTGGGCATACATGGAACACCATAACCATTGTATACAGGAACATCTGTGGCGAGTATGGCGTGGAAGTGCTGAGGTCAAGATGGGACACACCCACTAGGGTGGTTGAGAATGACCAAGCCAAGATGCTGTGGGACTTCCAGATACAAACTGGTGATGGCTAACCAACCAGACATTGTAGTGTTAGACAAGCAGAAGAAGATGGCTACAGTGATAGATGTAGTTTTACCTAATGACAGCATCGGAGTGCTCGGTGCAGTGACACGCAAGCTAGGCGAGTGGCTCCAGCAGATTCCAGGAACAACATCAAAGATCTCCGTCCAGAAGAGCGCAAGACCCTCAAGCTCCCAGACCTTTGCTAGAGGACCAAAGCTTGAACGATAGGCCCGCCCATAGGGGTAAGAGGGGAATTTATATGTAGAATTTAAATGCATACATTTTGATTACTCGATATTCTGTCCACATTTCAACAATCAAAACTAAATGTATTTATTTGATTAACTTTCAACTTCAAATTCTTTATTAACTAAAAATTGTTGACTACTTTCTTGGCCCACCACGGAGCCCTCACTGTAGAAACTATGCATTTCCCCTAGATATCTGTACAAATATTACAACTACTTAAAAATCTGTTTAGTCAAAAGTTCTGGTTGCTCACAAGTGTGTTTGAATTAAAAACAACAACAAAACAAAACAACCCCCCAATCGGCGTTTCGAGGTACTATGACGGTAGGCTGAGAGTCACATGTTTCGATCAGCTGACCGTGAACCATAAAGGCATCAACACCCTCGCGCTCTGCATTGCAGTGCTCGCCCTTCTCCAGTCAATCCTCCCCGACAACCAACACAAACACAGGGCTCGGAAAACAGCGCAGTCATGCTGCTCCTAACTCTTCTTTTGGTGTCCTCAGGTAGTATTAACAGAAGTAGACAAATAATGTGTGTGTGTGTGCGCGTTTTTTTTTTAACACTATAGGTGACCTGATTTCGACAGATTTTGGTTGTGTAACTATGTGCGTTTTAACATCAATAGGCGGAAGCGTATACCGGGAATTATTTTTTATTTATTTGTTAATAAAGTAACCTGGGATTTTGTTTTCAGTATATAATATATAAATAATATTCTACAAGTTTTATAGACATATTTAAAGCGATGTCAAGTGAATCTTTAACCGCGTGACTTTGAAGTTTATTGTTTTACCGTTGGCCTTAGCTGTGCTAACTCAAGCTTTTCAGCTAATGCTAACTAGCTTTTTCAGCTAACTAACGTTGCTACATCAGTTACCTAAAAATAGCGTTTACGTGTATAAATATGGTAGAACACTACAATAGAAAACCGATCAGTCAGTTAACTGTTGTAGACCCCTGTTTAGCCCAGGCTATGTACAGTATCTGGTGCTTTGTTGACTACTGGTAATGTTGAAGGGGAAGTTTACGTTTGATCTACTAAAGCAACACTTTCGTTTCACCCACACCGAAATGTTGAATTTGAAACTTTCTTTTCAGTCTTTGTTTCTTTTAGGGGATTTTGGAACGGGACCTATACTTGTGCTTCACTTTGAGTCGTGTTCATGGGTTTATCCTTATATTGTGATAAAACTGTGTCACCAATACCAACCGTTTATTTCTGCAGTGAAACCAAATGTGCCATTTGGACTATGGACTATCATGACAGAAGCCTGGTTTCCTTACTGACCATTGGCAGGGCTGTTTTATTCACACACAGACTTCTTTGCTTTAGTTACTGCTTAGTTTCACCTGAATTTCTGGGTGAAACCTAACTTCAGTGTTTTACATCCACATTCCTGCATTGGCATTCCTACTCCCGCATGTTTTGGGCTTAGTCATATTGTTTAACATGTGTCGTGTACTTTCTGCTGATAGTTGGTGGTTTGGATCACAAAAACAGTGTAGCCTGTCTCATTAAACAGGTTTATACCACAGGTTACATGCTGATATTGCAAAATCCAATCTGAATCCTGCTTAAAGCCTGTTGTGCTTTACTGGGTCATGTGATCGTGATTACTCACCTCAAGTGTTTTTCTGTTTTCTTTCTTTCTTTCTTTTCTTGACTTTATAGAAACCCAAATGTAGGCTTTTAGGTCACACAGAATTTGTTGACTTACTGTAAAACTTTTTCTTGCCATAAAATGCAGAACAGGCAGTTTCTATTGTTGTCTGTGTCAGAACAGCTTGTCATTTTGTATAAAAAGCATGTGACCCTGCATACACTGTAGCTGGTGATTGAAGGTTTGCTGGTTCAGCCTGTCCTTCGTTGCTCATTCTTGGCCGTTATCACTCAAGTCTGCTCACTGGCCTTGAAATCCAATAATCAGTGAGTGTAAGCTTACTTTTAGTTTGTCACAATTTTTCAAATGTAGGTTTTGTGACATGCAGATAGTTTGGATCTTCATTTCAAAACCATTAATGGGCAAAACAGGAAACACTGCATGCAAAACATGCCTTCCTGCATCACTTTTTCACTTCAGCAAACATGAAGAACAGTAAAGGCTTCTTTTTTGCATTGAGCTATACACACAACCCCTCACCCACCTCCCCCGATTCCTACTTCTGCAATTGTGATGCACGAGTGAGCAATTAAATTCCCCTGATGTGGTCATGCCAGAGATAGACATGCTAATAGGGTTTTAGCCCCCCCCCCATTAATGGTCATAAACCTTAGCAACCCACAATCCTCAGTGATTTGTAAATTATCTTGGTTTTAAGTGAGCTTTATTAGTATGGAGAGACAAGGGTGCTGAAACACAGACAAAACATAGAAACACACGACAAAAAACGACAACAAAAAACCCCTCACTACTTTCTGAAAAACCTCTTAGAACTCAGCCGACATGGTTAACAGCTGACCTTTTGTCAGTCATCTTTACAGAGTTGTTTAAAATTCAACCTGCAGGGCAGTGTCTTATTGAAATCATACTTTCAGTTGAGGAAGTTGGCCTTGAATTTCCTTTCTGTGGTATGAAGTCCTGCTTGATAAAGTCATACTTTGTATTTTTGGTCTAATCGAGCTAGTTTAGCCTATTTTAAAACTTTAAACATAGTTGAAGTATAACATAAAAGAAGAAAAGGACAACCCTGAAAAAC